CACAAAAAATATCGACCCGATCAATACAAAATGCCACACAAGTATGTAGATCTTAGCTTCGAAAATGCTTAGAGCTGCTAGATCCGGAAACAGAAACCGAAGTAGTAGAAGAAGAGGCTGAATAAATATGATGATGAGATGCCTTCATCATCATCATCATCCCACCATTGAAACAATCCTCTTTGTTCTCTTCTTCTTTGATAGTGTCTAGCTTCTGCTTCGCTGCTCTATGCCTCCTTATCACCGTCACGAATTGAGGTGGAGCAACCTCTGATACAAACCTAGCTAGACGAGAAGTAGCCATTTGTTTTTATGGTCAGTGATTAACAAAAACAGTGTTTAAAGAAATCAAAGAAATGATTGAGAGAGATATATGTTGGTTTGATTTATGAAATGCTTGAGATACGAAACTCATATATATATATATATATATATATATATGTCGATGATTTTGTTAATTACCCACGACGTAGGGCATTTGTTTTTGACGTTTTGCACCGTCAATAGCTTTTGCTATTTAATGCATGGACACGTGTACTGTAAGTCTTAATTTGTTGTGTCGCTAGCAAATTATTTTTTCTCAAAATTAAAAAGCTTCTAATTGAAAACTTTTTATTCGTGCGTTTTCTTTTTTTTTTTGTTAAATTAATCGTGCGTTTTCTCTACACTATTCTTTAACAAATCGTTGATTACGAATTTTCGATAGTAAATTAGGTGTAATAATACTGCTTATTTACAAACAACACTCTACTAAAACACTACTATTATCTATGTTTCATATAATTAGTTGTAAGATTTTGTTTTCCGTTTTCACAATAAAATCCTTTTGTATTTTTGATCCAAAATATTTTAGTATCATTTTTATTTTATTATTTCAGCTTATTCATTAGGCAAAAAAAAATTAGGGAATTAAGAAATGCAGTATGGTTAGTTAATTTCAATCTAAATATTATTAAAACATTCATAAACAATATAGCTAATTCACTATGTGGTATGGTAATAATGCATTTGCCAACTTTTGAAAACGATAGGGATAATGAAGTTAGAAATTTTATTTTAAAAAGGAGAGAGTGAGCACGTTTCAAATTCCTTGTGGAAGACCTCATCTCTATCTCTGTCGGAATCGATGACTGACAAAATCTAGCTTTTTATCCTTGCGTTAACCGGTCGTATGATAATCCACGTGTATGCTACCAAAATCTGGACGTTTTGTCAATGTCCTTGTTATATGAGATTTTTTGTTTTGTTTTGTTATAGTATATGAGATTTTTTCTAAGAAAGTGGCCTTTTTGGCCCTCGAAAATCTGAGAGAACAAGTTGTAAACTATTCATTTTTTTTTTGTCGGCACTATTCATTTATGTTTTTTTTTTTCACTTATGTTTTTATTGGGTTCTTAACCATATATTCATAATTACCTAATAATAAATAAATTTATTTATCAAGAAACACATTATTTCAACAATAAATAAAAAATTTAAAATATAGAAATCCTTTAAAGACTGTATATGTTATAATAAAAAATTTATTTCAATGAATTTCTAAGTATTACATCATTGTTGATTAATTTGTTCTATATTTAATAGAAAATCTCAATTTATTTTGATTTACATATCAAATAATTAATTGCACACATATTTTTTTAATAATGTAGAAGTTCCAATAGGTCCATCGGGATCAACATTTAATAAATTATTTTTCACAAAGGAAACCGAGCTCGTGTCTTTCTGCTTAAGCTTTCAATAAACTTGAATTCAACCACGTCCCCAACCCCACATTGATAGTTAATTTTGCAAATTATCTACTTATTTACATATTTATATATCCAGGAATAAGTATACATGTATATTTAAATTTGTGAATTATGAATAGCATTATATGTTAATACGAGAATACGAGTACACAAGGAATTTCACGAGGTTTGGCAATGTGCCTAATCCTCAATAACTTTCAATAGAAATTATTTAGACAATCTTACACCAAGCTTTGCCTAAATGGAATTACTCGACTCTAAGACACCCCTTAGTTCTACACCAATAAATTCCTAATGAACTTGAGACACTTAGATTAACACCTAATCTAAGAATAACTTTCTTTCTATCAAAAGCAAAAACTTAACCCTCTCTGGTTTTTCTCTCCTTGACGGCTACACAAAATCTAACGTCGCGTCTCTCTATTTATTCTATCGAGATCACGTTTACACCACATATTAAATGTAAAATATCTTTATTCATTAACTAATGAATACTCTCTTTGATTTGAAACTATCTCCACATATAAAGATGGCAAACTCTACGCTCCAATTAAGTTGTGCCACATCATCTTCTTCTTTGCTGAAATCTTTTCGTGTCCAGACATTCCTGTGTAACACAGCTACATCCTGTTCCACTCTGTGCTGCGTCCTGATACACTTTGTACCTTCATTATAATCATATTGAATATTTTAGGTTTACTTGGACAATAAAAACCCACTCTCAGTCGTCGGATCCAAAAAATTGAGGAATCAAGAGGAACAACACTTTCCTCCTCTTATTTTCTAGATTATGATTACTAATTAAATCCAAAAAAATCCAACCACATACTAGATTTGTTGTTTGAATACTTTTGTTTATTAACGAAAACCCGAAAAAAACAAATATTAGATCTAATCTAACCCTAATTTCACAAAGTACTCATCATCCACCGTCACAAAATCGAGCGTCTCAACAAGAAAAAAATAACTTATTATTCCCAGCATCTCTTATAGTTATCCATGTCCGGATTGTTCCCCCCGGCCACCACCAGAGATATGTCAGCTGGTAAGATCTATCCCTTGGTCGAAAATGTTTATGAGATCTGGATCTAAGCTTATTTGTCATAGTAGTATACTTTTTGTCTATGATCTGGACTAGATATCATTCCGTTTTGTTTTGTTAAACCAACAACGCAGGGCGTAAAACATGTTGCATATTGGACATGGAGGATTACTCCATCCCAGATGGTCTCTGTCCTCATTTGATTAAAAAGAAAATCAAAACAGCTATGCTTGACTCCGGTTATCGTGGGAAAGTGGAGGTCTGGGCTTGCGTTGCTGAGAATACATGGTCCGATGAATTGCGTGACAAATTTGAGTCCCACGGAATTTGCGTCTGTCTCACATCACAAGGTGAATAAATTCCTTCACTTCTTTTCTCTCCTATTTTTTTTTTTTTCTTATTGGTTATATATCAGATATATAATTCCAGGGGATAAAGAAGATCAGAGACTTACAATGATATTAGTGGAGCTTCTATTCTGGGCTTGGAATTCTGGAACATCAAATGTGCTGATACTCTCAAAACACCACGAAGAAATGGAACAATACCCAAGGTTCTCCCGTTTTCGTAAAGCTTTGGAAAGCAAAGGTTACTGTGTTGTGTCAGCAAAGCCTGAGACACTCATAAACCAAAGCATAATTGAAGAGGAACAAAGCGGCAAGCTCAGAGGCTACTTCTGATATCCAAGTTTTTGGGATTAACTAATATTTTTAAATTCAAGTGGTGATCTTTTTACTTGAAGGTGGAATGGTAGTGAATCAAAAGAAAAGATGCATGCAACGATCCGTTGTTAAACTATGGCAGCAGATGGCTGAGTCTTGTGGCTTTGGCACTGAAAATATCAGAACAACAACAACTCTCCTTGATGATCTCAAGTCTCAACACTTTGCAGTTCTTTAGTTTTCGGAAAATTCACTTCTTAAATATTGGTATTTAACACTTTTCAATTTTATATATTGGGATTTACTTTTCATTTTCACAATTGGTAGGATCTCTCACAAGCACCTTCTTAGGTCTTGTTTAGTTACTATTTATTTGTTTATTAAGGGTTTAGGATTTAGTTTTTTTTTTCCAAAATCCACGTGTAAGCTACCAAAATCTGGACGTTTACTTGACAAAAATCTGACGTTTTATCAATTTCCTATTGATATCAGATTTGTTTTAAGTATATGAGATTTTCTTTAATTTCATTAAAAAAAATTCGTAGAAAGTGGCCGTTTTTTGGCTCTCGAAAATCTGAGAGAACAATTTTAATATTAGCTTCTTAACCATATATTCATAATTTTTATTTATTTATCAAGAAATAGATTTTTCAACAATCAATTAAAATTTTAAAATCTAGAAGTTCATTCAAGACTATAAATATTATATTAAAAAGTATATTTCAATGAATTTCTAAGTATTACATCATTGTTGATTTTCATATATTTAATAGAAAATCTCAATTTATTTTGATTTACATATCTAATTTATTAGTTGACTACTAACATTTTAGGACTTCTTTTGTAAAATTAATGTTCATAAATATTTAATTCTGAACATTTTAGATACGATTAAATAAAATATGTTTATAGGAATAATTACACACATCTTTTTGATAATTTAGAAGTTCCAAACCTACGTCTATACATTTCTCATAATCGAGACCAACGTTCAATAAATTAATTCTCACAACGAAATTCGAACTCATGTTGAGATTGATCAGAAAAGATCTCTTTGTTCTTATGATAAGATTGTGTGATTGGACCCGCATATGCTTAAACGTTCGACGAACCTGAATTCAACTGCATATGCTTAAAAGCATATGCAAATATGGGGAAATAGACCTGCATATGCTTAAGCGTTTGAAAATTATCTACTTATTTGTTTTTTCTGCTCTAAATATTTACATGTTATATAAATTAAGATTCTCAAAAATTAGTTTGTGGTTTGGCTCAAGTCAAGATACTTATAACAAGGAAAACCATATTAGCAAATGATAAAGAGGCAGATTTTCAAATACAACGAATTAGTGACGCTTAGATAATTATATAATAAAAGAAATAAAGATCAAACAACTTATATTTGAATTTTTAGGGAATTAACCAAAGATGAAACTTTTAAAACTAAAAAAAGACCCAACATAAACCATAAACAAAACTATAAAAACAAAAGAAGCAGAAACGAACGACTGAAACTAACATAACTTAAGGAATATCGAGAACGGGTAATACGGTTAAAATTAATTAAAGGACCATGCTTTTCCAAATCTTAAGAAGACCTAAACAAACATGTTTATGATCTTTTTAATCTCCGTGCATGAAGATCATCTGCTTCCACTAGCGTTGGCTTTATGATTCATGTTCATAGTGTTGTTGAAGCTTTGGTTCCACTTGTGTTGATCCACTTGATTTATGCGATAACTTTTAAGATTATCAACATATCCACCAATGGATTGGTTTATCAAAGGGTTCCCAATCAAATCATTGGATCCAACATCGTGATAATCTTGTTGAAAAGAATCATCACCAAAATCTAAGCAATCCATTCGAAAACTTCGAACTGGAAGCAAATTTGTCACACCATGAAATTCACTCAGATAACCGAAATGGTTACCAACAGCAGCAGCAACAGAAGAAGATGAAGCACCGAAAGATCGAACAAACTCGTTGTTTTCATGAGTCTGTTTGAAAGGTTGATGATCAACTCTTCTGTTCTCAACGGAAACCAATTGAGAAACCAAAGATTGATCTACCTTCGGACGCTTAGGTTTACGGCAACTTCCACCGATTGGTATGTTCCTTAAAGCCCCACCATGAGTCCAATATCTACGACAATTCTTGCAGAAGTAGCGCGGTTGAGACTCACTGTAGTTGTTGTAATAGCAAAACTTAGTGTTATCAGAATCACACCTTGGACACACTCGCGGTGGGGGTGGGGGCGGCTTCACACCATCCACTTGATTGTCTTCATTTGCAAAAACATTCAAGTTATCCATTTCTCTCAAGAAGTTTTGATTTTCTCTAAGAAAGAGAAGACTTAAGTTATAAGATCTTGTTGTTGCTATGATCTTTTTTGTTGTGGAAGGTGTATTCTTATATAGGTTCTTGGGGCGTGGAAATTTAAGAATTTAGGAGATTGTGGTTTTAGGAGAGTGAGATTATGAGCAAAACGTGTCAAAGATTGTGGTTTAATAAAATCTGAAAATCTATCTACACACAATAAACCTTAGGCTAAGCTTAGTCAAAAACCAAGGGTTAACTCTTGTCTGTATGTGAAAACTTTTAGAATCAAGAAGATTTTCAGATTAGAAAATCACATATAAACAGAAAAAAAAATCTAGGAACATATATTGAGAGTGTAATGACAATTAATTAAAGTCAAACCAAGCATATGTTGCATACTTGCATGTATATTTACTATTAGAGAGAGTATGTGAAAACGTGTGTGCTCACGTTCTATATGAAAACACGTGTGTTCATGCCCTATCTCATGATGCGTGATTGTTTTTTTTGTAGAAAGATCTTGATATGGTTTTTCCATCTTTAATTTACATATATACAAAATGGTGAGAACATAAAAAGTTTAGTTAAAAAAAAAGGTTTTTTTTTTTAAATATAAAATAACCTAATGTTTGAAATCCACAAAATGCTTAAGTAATTACTTTTATTAAGGATTTAATAATGAGTTTTGAGAAAACAAGAAAGAAAATGTGTGCCAGCCAGTAGAGTTAACGCATAAGCTCTCATTGGCGCAATAGAAAAATTTACTATAAAAAAAGTTGCTTATAATTTCTTTTTTTATTGGATACAACTATTAAGGATAGAAAGGATTAAAGTATACAGCAATATCCAAAATCAAGACAACAAGCAATTCAATCATAATAGAAAATTAAAAAATATGAAAGAAGCTCATCTTCGACAAAAAAAAAAAGATAAGTTTGTTAGCGCATATATACATTCACGCCTAGTTCTCATTGGCGCATCAGAGAAATGTTCATAAATAACAGTTAAACTTTATGACCTTCGGACATCAAATCTTCAATGGTCGATCGAAATTGAGATTGACAAAAAGAAATAGAAGCTTTGATGTTCGAACACGTTTTAGCCGCTTTGGCATATAGTTTTAGCCGGTATCGATCCTCCCTCCATTTCTTTGATCCGTAAGCTGAATCAGCCCTCGAATCTCTAGCGTTATATAGAGGATCTCTTCCCTGAAAATAAACCAAACAGGATGCAACAAACTGAGGTTAATAGCTTGACCAACACTTTAACCTAAGAAAAACATACATAATCTCTTTAACCGGACAAAACCTGATTCAAAATTGGAGTCACAGCGATTTCATTTCAAACCACTCCTCGTATCTTCTAGCTTCAGCTTTCGGATGATTGAAACCAAAAGAAAATTACGAAGAAAAACTCGAATCCCAATTTTCAGTTTTCAGCAACAACAGTAAAACAAATTCAGTGACGAAGGCGAATGGAATGGTCGACAATATCAAGAAAAGAGAGAGAAATTAAAGCCACATGTCAATGTTTGGAACACATAAAAATCATAGACAATAAACACGTTACATATATATGGAAACCAAACATCAAATCTCCCTTGGATATGTCTTCTTATTGTCAAGACGTTGTGAGCTTCCATTAGGGCCATCGAATAGGCTAGTCAAAAACCATGTATGCCTTTCACTAGGAATTTGCCATCGTGGTTGAGTTTGGGATGAGAGAATACCATGACGTCTGATATCCAAACTACAAAGAAGATGGCCAATGTCATCTCCGATGTTTTTTGCGAGTAAAATCACATTTGTTGGTTTAGGACTTTCAAATGTCCACAAGAGCATGTCCAAAAACATGGTACGAATTCTGGCATCTTTATCCCCTGTGGAATAAAGTATATAAATCAAACAGAGATCTCTAAATATGATTAGAGCAAAGAGGTAAAAAGAAGTAAATAAATATTCACCTAGGGCAATGAATTCGATATGGAACCCAGCTTCCTCATATTCACGTCGCAATTCATCGGAGCATTTATCAACATAAGCATGGATTGACACATCCCTATGACAACCTTGCTTCTTAAAAGCTTCTTGGATTTTCAGATAAAACGAAGCAGGATCAATACTATCTGGGATTGGGTAATCCTCTACATCCCAAAACACACATGTCTTACCATCTGATTTCACAAACGAATAAATTAGATCTGATTATCATATATAGAGTTAACAATTTCGAGCAAACGAGAGAGAGATCTTACCAGCGTGACGTATCACCGATTGGCTGTCCATGGTTTTGTCGAAGAACTGCGGTTGAGAGAGAGACTTTTTCTGGATTTAGGGTTTGTCCCCTAACCGGTCGTATGACGTGTAAAGCTACCAAAATCTGGACTTTTGTCAATGTCCTTGTTATAATAAGAGATTTGTTTTGTTTTTCTTGGTTTACGTATATGAGATTTTCTTTAATTACGTTAAAGATTTTATTTTATTTTATTCAAGAAAGTGGCCGTTTTGGCCTCGAAAATCTGAGAGAAAAGGTTGTAACTATTCATTTATGTTTTTATTCGGTTCTTAACCATATGTTCATAATTACCTAATAATTAATTTATTCATTTATCAAGAAACACATATTTTCAACAATAAATTAAAATTTAAAATCTATATTCATGAAAGACCATATATGTTATATTAAAAATATTTTTCAATGAATTTTTAAGTATTACAGCATTGTTGATTCGTCATATATATAATGGAAAATCTCAATTTATTTTTATTTACATATCTACTTTATTATTAGTTGACTACTAACATTTTAGGACTTCTTTTGTAAATTAATATTTGTTTATACTTAATTTTGAATATTTTAGATACTGTTAAATAGTTTTAGAAATAATTACACACTGATTTTTCTTGATACTTTAGAAATTTCAGATCTAGTCTTGGACTGCTTCGAAACTCCGAATTAACGGATCTACTATGTCACGTACCGTGCTTAGCAACCCGACTCATGAGTTCAAACACCACTCCTCTAATTTTGGTGATCTCAAACCTCCCCGAGCAAAAATCTCTTCAATTCCAGTCTGGTGGAGGCAAATGTGTCAGAATTACACAAAACCATACTAGAAATATTGTGTTATTCTGTTATCTTCGTAAACGGCTACACATACATATATATAAGATTTAGGGTACATTAACCCTAGTCTCATATTAAACCTAATAAAGCCCATGTCAAATGACCGATCTGATTCTAGTCCAAAAACTAATATCAAAGGCCTGATCCAATCCTATTACCCCTCCTCAAGTTGGAATGGTCTATTAAGAACACCCAACTTGCCGAAAAAGGATTTTTTTTTTTGAATTTGAAGCGCCTTCTGCTGCTTCGATCCTCACAACAACTTGAGCGCCTTCTGCAGCTCCTTGATCTTCTTAACAGATTGAGCGCCTTGCGCAGCTCTTTGATCTTCACAACATTCTGAGCGCCTTCCGCAGCTCTGACGACTTTAACAACGATCTAAGCGCCTTTTGCAGCTTTGACCTTTACAACAGTCTGAGCGCCTTCTGAAGCTCGAATAACCTTGAACAACAGTCTGAGCGCCTTTTGCAGCTCTAACGACTTTAACAATGATCTAAGCACCTTTTGCAGCTTTAACCTTTACAACAATCTGAGCGCCTTCTACAGCTCGGATAACCTTGAACAACAGTCTGAGCGCCTTCTGCAGCTCTGACAACTTTAACAACGATCTGAGCGTCCCACAACTCTGACCTTAACAACACTCTGAGCCCTCTATGCAGCTCTGACTTTAACAATGGTCTGAAAATCTTTCGTAACTTTGATGACCTTAACAATGGTCTGAGCCTCCTACAGCTCTGACCTTAACAACACTCTGAGAGCATTTTGCAGCTCTGATAACTTTAACAACGGTTTGAGCGCATTTCGTAGCTTTTATGACCCGACCATATAACCCCCCCTCAAGTTGGAGTGTGTATATTAGACCACCCAACTTGCTGAAGGAAACAAACAAATCTCTGATGACAACCCATATGATGTCTTCTTTGAAGCCCATTCTGTAGCTTCTTTGATGACTACCCACACAATAGTCCAAGTGTTGACTACACGACCGATGGCCTTCCACGACTATTAGCAAAATCACAAAAGCCGTAGTAGGTCTTCGAAAATATCCATAAACGGAATAAACTTGCTCCTCAAGTTTTATCCTTTCCATATGTTGATTTGGAGAATATTTAGTGAATCTTCGAATGAACAACCACACCAAGAACGCGCCACGTCAGCACGTCGCAAACTTCTGATACAGATTCATGTTGACATCAACTGGATGTGTTCAACATCAGCTTGTTGTTTCAGAGTCGAAACTCTGTAGAACCAAACAAACGTCACAAACTCACGTCGAGTTGTGGAAACAACCAAAAACAGAGACTTCTCGGGTACTCTTAACGGAGCAGCAATCTATTTACGAAGCCCCAACCGTCCTTTGCCAACCATGAACACGAACACGAACGTCTGAGCCCAGTAACTAGTTGAGCCCGACAACGACTGGAAGTCTTCCCCCCTCCCCATCTTGTGTAGATGAAGAACACCCATCTTGCTGAAACACCAACCATCAAAACACTGCATTGGAAACAACCGTTTGAGCCAAACAACTCTTACAACCAAACAGATCTGGAAAAAACCACCAACAAATAAATCGGAGACCGAACACAATGGCAAAAATGAATAAGCCCATGCTAAACCAAAACCCCAAAACATCGACATCTACCACCGTGAAACAAGATCTGAAAAAAAAAACTACTCTCCCAAAAACAAAACCCTAATCTTAATCCACAACGCTTCTCTCACCACCAAAGATCTCAGCAACTGAAGCAAAGGATTACTAAAACATCAAAACAAAACCCGTCAGAAAACCCAAGAACCCTAGCTACTAACAAAAAACAAAGAACATAAACGTCTTTTTTTTTGTTTCATCTTTGCGGAAGCAAAACTAAAATCCTACAAGTTTGAACCTAAAGCTCGTATACCATGCCAGAAATACACAAAAACGATACTAGAAATATTGTGTTAGTCTGTTATTTTCGTAAAAAACTACACATACATATACAGTATATAGGATTTAGAGTACATTAACCTTAATCTCATATTAAACCTAATAAAGCCCATCGACTTCCGCCGTAGCCGTAACGGCCAATTGGTCGGTTGAGCAGCGCGAATAAACCACAGCGAACCCTCTAGCGTCGTCAAACCAAATCAGGCTCGACCAACCGATCATCACGCCCACCCAATCGAATCCAAAACTGCCTGGACAGGGAGAGAAACCACACCTCCACCATAGGAGAAAAAATCTTGCTCACTCAGGTCTCCTTATGCACTACCAGACCTGAAATTAAGATCAATCCCAAACAAATACATGCCAACAGAAACCCTAACTTCGGAAGGAAAACAAGCGAACCGACTGGAGGAGGAAGACCAACCGATTCGTCTCCAGATCTAACAGAAAGGCGACCTCTAGAATTTAACCACTAAGATAAGAACCTAGATTCCCAACCCTCTCTAAAGCCATGCATAACCCAAGCGAAGAAAACAACATACGAGGAAAACAAACGACCATTGGAAAAACGAACAGAGCTGTCCTCGAGGAACCGAGTCGATGAACCTCCTACGGCCACCACCAAACATCTCCTCGGATCCACGCGCCGGAAGACTCCAACCACCAACCAGAGGCCATATCGGAACAAGGACCACCGCAACCTTCTGAAGATAGAGCACAACAGACAAGATGACATCTAAGGAGGAGCAGCTAATGAAAGAGAATCCTTCCCCGATGCTGAAAGGGAAAGCCGAAGAGGCGACATTGAGCACATATCTAGATCTAGGTTAGAGAGAAAGGAGAGCGTATGCTTTAAATACTTTTCTGACGTATAAAGTTTTCTTTGCTCTAAATATTTGCACGTTATATATTTTAATATTCTAAAATTTTAGTGTGTTGTTTGGCTCAAGTCAAGATACATTAGTGAGGAAAAATATTAGCAAATGATAAAGAGGAAATTTGCAGTACAACGAACTAGTGACACTTAGATAATTATATATTAGAAAGAAAAAAGATAAAACAACTTATGTTTGATTTTTTAGGGAATTGAACAAAGCTGCAAACTTTAATAACTAAAAAAAAACGCCAACAGAAACCATAAACAAAACTAAAATGTAAAAAAGAAGCAGAAACGAACAACGACAAAAACTTAAACTTAAGAAATAGAGAACGGGTAATACAGTTAAAATTTAAGAAGACCTAAACAAACATGTTTCTGATCTTGTTCATCTCAGTGTCTGAAGATCCTCCGCATCTACTCGCTTTTGCTCTATGATTCATATTCATATTGCAACTTGCGTTGATCGTTGTGATTATCAACATATCCACCAATTGATTGGTTTATCCAAGGGTTACCAATCAAATCATTAGAGCCAACATCATATAAATCTTGTTGAAATGATTCGTCACCGAAATCTAAGTGATCCATTGTTAGAAAACTTCGAGTTGGAGACAAATTTGCTACTCCATGCAGCTCACTAAAATAACCGAAATGGTTCCCAATAGCAGCAGATGAAGAAGCAGCACTAACTGAAATGTTTTCTTGATTTTCGCTGAGAGGTTGATGATTACCTGGTTGAATCTCAACAGAAGCCATTTGAGAAACTGAAGATTGATCTATCTTTGGAAGCTTGGATTTACGGCAACTTCCACCGATTGGTATGTTCCTTAAAGCTCCACCATGAGTCCAGTGTCTACGACAATTCTTGCATTTGTAGCGTGGTTGAGACGTTTTGTAGTTGTTGAAGTAGCCGAATTTTGTTTGATCGGAATAACACCTTGGACACATTCGTGGTGGGGGCTTCACAACATTCGCTTGATTATCTTCATTTGCAAAAACATTCAAGGTATCCATTTCTCTCAAGAAGTTAGTTGATTTTCTCCTAGAAAGATAAGACTTAAGTATAAGATCTTCTTGTTGCTATGATCTTTTGTGTTGTGGAGTGTCTTCTTATATAGGTTTTTGGGGAGTGAAAATCTAAGAAGAGTATGTTTTGGGTTTAAGGAAGGGAGATTATGAGCAAAACGTGTCAAAAGTTGTGTTTCAATAAAATCTGAAGATTTATCTACACACAATAAACGTTAGGTTAAGCTTAGTCAAAAACTAAAGGTTAATTCTTGTCTGTATGTGAAAATTTTGAGAAAATTATTAAATGAGAAAATCACATAATCAGGAAAAAAATCTAGGAAACATTGAAAATATAATGACAATTAATTAAGTCAAACAAACATATATGGCATGGATATTTACCAATTAAAGAGAGTATGTGAAAACACGTGTGCTCACGCGCTATATAAAAATACGTGTGCTCACGCGCTAGATAGGCTAGGAATGTCAAATAGGTATACTTACCATGGGATAGATCAATCTAAATTGTAATGGTCCGGTTACAGTTACACCTAGAACCACAATGGTCTATATGGACTAAAAACCAATTTAACCCGCAAAAAAATGGAGCAAACTCATCTGGACATAGGCCGTCTCATAAGTTTAAAAAATAGAGTTTCTTGGAAATACAAAATTATAGGATCTGATATTCTCGGTGATTCTTCTTAGTTCTTATTCTTCGCATTTTATTTTCACGCTAAAACGTGATTCTATGTTTTTCCGCTAAAATATGATTTTCTATTTTCCGCCAAAAATATGATTTCCTTTGTTTTGACAGAAAAATACAGTTTTGCGGTTTTTATGAGAAAATATTTTTTTATATTTTTGGTGGAAAAATGTGATTTTGCGATTTGGAAAAAGAACATAATTTTTTTATTTTGTGGTTTTGGCGGAAAAAAATGATTTCGCGGTTTTGGCTGAAAAACGTAATTTTCTATTTTGGCCAGAAACATGATTTTGTGTTTTCTTGTGTGATTGTGTTTATGTGTTATTTGGATCCTACGGACAGTTCAATTGATCATAGTCATATTTAGGTTTGGTCTTATTTGAACATGATCCAAATTATTTGGGCTTTCACCGTCAATGTCTAAAAAACGAAATATCCATTTGGACATGCCCATTTGAACATGTACGGCCCATTTGATATCTCTGCGTAATATATATTTTTGGTAGAAATCTCTTTATATGGTTATTCTTTGGTAGAAAACAAATTATTATAAAAAATTAATGTTCTTATAAACTTATTTATATTAGATAAACTGTTGAGAATAGAAAAGATTAAAGTATACACCAGTACCCAAAATGAAGACAACAAGCAATTCAATCATAATAGAAAATTAAAAAATGTGAAAGAAGCTCATCTTCGACAAAGCACCTAGTAATTTGGTTTGAGAAAAAAATACTATAAGTTTGCTAAACATTCACAACTAGTTCTCATTGGCACATCAGAAAAAATGAATTATAATTTTTGTATAGAAATTTTCCACATTTAAGATGGATACAATTGGGAGAACAGAATTGTTATATGGGAAATAATACATCGTATCACAATGGTGACAAATCCAAGTATAACAACAAGTTTTTATAATGCATAACATAATTTCAAAAATTGGAAAAAGAACACCTAGATAATTAGCTTAGGGACTTATTAGTGATTTGCTGAGCTAATAGTGATTTGTTGAGAGAGAAAAAAAAAAATTAACGTACCTGAACAACACAGTACTCAATTTAACTTTAATGGTCAATCGAAATTGAGATTGACATAAATAAATAGAAGCTTACTAATTGTGTAAATAACCATAGATTTATTTTATTTATATACTAATGCATCTCACATTGTCACATACATGAGATCAAGCGTAGTTTTAAAACAGAGAAGAAACTGAAAGAAAACAGAGCAATACATAAAATTATAACATTTCAGAACGCATTGGTAACTTTATTTCCTCATCAGTTAAATGTTATGAAATCGTCCTCTTTTTGATCTTTCTCCGCTTTTTTCTTCTTCGTATGATCTTCCACGCCTTTATCGATATCAGCCCGTGCCTTCTTCGCATCCTCTTCAGGCCCAACCACAGCTTCAGTGACGGTTTGGGCAGCGTTTTTCGTACTCTCCCAAGCTCCTTTCACCGTCTCCTTGGTCTTCTCTCCAAGTTCCTCAGCTTTACCCTTCACAGTCTCCTTAAACCCTTCTGCCCTCTCCTTAGTATCTTGTCCATACTCTTTCACCTTCTCTTTCGCATCTCGAGCTTTCTCCTTTGCACTGTCCATTGTATCTTCAGCGTAATCCTTAGCTCTTTCTTTTGTATCTTCCGCTTTATCCGCTGCCTTAGACGCGCCTTGGTTCACCTTGTCTTTACTCCGCTCAGCAAAATCCTTAGCCTTCTCTTTTGCATTGTAGGCTGTATCCTTTGCTTGCTCTTTAGTTTCGTAGGCTTTCTCCTTTGCTTGCTCTTTAGTTTCGTAGGCTTTATCCTTTGCTTGCTCTTTTGTCTCGTAGGCTTTATCTGCAGCTTTGCTTGCTCCTTCGTTAGCCTTGTCTTTAGCCGCTTGGGCATAGTTTTCGCCGGTATCCTCCCTCCATTTCTTTGGCCCGTAAGCGGAATCAGCCCTCGAGTCCCTAGAGTTATCTAGAGGATCTCTTCCCTGAAAATAAACATAACAAGGTACAAACTAGGGTTAATGGCTTGGCGAACACGTTAACCTAATCTCATAAACCGGACCAAAATCTAGTCTAAGCTAGGATATACACAACAACCGCTCTGAGCACTATGCAAAAAATGTATCGATATCTTAATTCCAGCCCCAGGACCGGCTCGGTAATGTTAATACTGTATATATTATAAATGGACTTTAAAACGTTATTTGCTATTTTGTTACGGCTCATGTGACACTTGAATCAAAACTCTTAACATGATCACATACATAAGAACTAAAAATTATTCTAAAAATCGTAACCTCGTTTTGGCTAACGGAGGAGGCGAAGCAGACGCGAGAGACTTTCCGGGTAGAAGCAGCGAGAGTAGCCGGAGCTTTGATTCCAGGGAAAGCTCTTGAGAGACCAAAGAGAGCGGTTCTTGTTAATTGCATGGCTGCCATTTTCATCAAATCAAGAAAAACAAGCTTTTCTTCGAATGCAAGACTTAATTTTGCTATGATTCAATTGGATTGAGATCCTTTTCTCTTCTCTCTTTATCTTCGAGGTCGGTTTATCTAATACGTTGCAGCTTATAGATCCATCAGCAAGAGAAGCTGGCAACGTAAGTATCTGACACGTGTGGGTGGAACGACACGTGTTTGACATGTTAACAGTTTTGGTTTCTTCGGTGAATTGTTACAAAACGCACCGGTTTAATGTAGGTTATGTAATAACCACTTACGAAAAAGACAAATTTAACCGTAAATGAAATTATGTTTCAAAAGCCACATGGGTTTTTTAATCAAACCTCAATTTGACTTCCAATAATAAAAGGCCCACTAGAATCTTTCTTCTTGGAAGACAAGTTTCCTTTTACTCTTTTTGCTGTCAAAATATAATAAAATCGAAGGTCTGGGCAAAGAAGAATTCATCAGTCTCCGACGAACACCAAACCCTAAACCACACCCATATCCTCTCGTCGATAAAGTAAGAAATAAAGCTTTTTCTTCGATCTTTGTCGATTGACAAACCCTAGTTGCAGTCTTCGTTCTAAGATTAGAGAAATGGAAATCTATTGCAGTGTTTAGGTTGCGGAACCCTAAATCCGTCTGGAAACCCTAATTTTGAGGAATCGGCCTTGTCTATTATTCTATTTTGGTGTCACATGATCCATCTTCTGAAAATTTATGAAGTCGTGTATGAGCTATGAAGTGGGATCGTTATTTTATTCGATTGATCAAAAGATTTGATTCCGATTTCGTTTATACAAATCATATCGCTTCCTTGAGTAAACTGAAACTGCTTAAATACATTTTAGATGAAATTTTAGTAGTCTCTATGCAGTCAGAATATTGAAGGTTAGGACTACATTTTCTCTATACAGAATTGAGATGGCTCTACAAGAGCAGCTAAATAAGTTCAATAAACAGCAAGAGAAATGTCAATCTACGCTTTCGAGCATTGCTTCTTCAAGAACGGGGCCTTCTAGGTCATCCGTGCCTGCAGCAACAACCAGTCAGAAGCCTAATGTAGTTCGTGGAAAGTTTTCAGAAAATACAAAGCAGCTTCAGCACATTAACAACATAAGAAACAGTGCTGTTGGAGCTCAAATGAAGCTTGTCATTGATCTTTTGCTTAAGGTTTTGTCTATCTCTCTTTTGTTGTTGTTTTTTTCTTTATATGAGCTTAGTTTATATAATGAAGTTGATTTGTCTTGTAGACAAGGCAAGCCTATACGGCAGAGCAAATAAATGAAGCTTGTTACGTTGATATGACTGCCAATAAGGCTGTTTTTAATAGTTTGAGGAAGAATCCGAAAGTGCATTATGAAGGAAGAAGGTTCTCTTACAAGGTAACCTAAACATTTTATTCAAAGGGGATTTGTTTCTCATTTTCTCTTTGAATTCCACGCGTTTACGATTCTGCTATACCCTCACGTCTCAGGCTACGCACGATATCAAGGACAAGAAGCAGCTTCTTTCGTTTGTGAATAAATCCTCTAATGTGATTGATGTGGTTGATCTCAAAGATGCTTACCCTAATGTCATGGAAGATTTGCAAGTATGCATTGCATTTTTTTGGGAATATACACAATGTCATGTGTTTTGTGTTTGAAGATTGTCTTGTGTTTTGTAGGCTTTGAAAGCTTCGGGAGACATCTTCTGGTTGCCATCAAACACTGATTCAAAAGAGGGTATTGTGTATCCAAATGATTTGAAGTATCCGAAGATTGATGACGAGCTTAAAGCTCTATTCCGCGACATAGACATCCCGAGCGACATGCTTGACGTGGAGAAGGAGTTGCTGAAGATTGGTTTGAAGCCGGCCACAAACATTGCAGAGAGGAGAGCTGCTGAACAGCTCCATGGCGTATCAAATAAACCGAAGGATAAGAAGAAGAAGAAACAAGAGATCAGCAAGAGAACCAAACTCACCAATTCCCATATTCCTGAGCTCTTCCAGAGCCTAAACGCCAGCAGTTCTGGGAACTAAACCTCTTTGAATTTCTTTGTCTCTAAACCTATATTTTTCCTACTCGAAGTCTCTGTACTAATATAAAAGCACGCTGCAAGACAAGGAGGAAAGCATTAACATTCATTAATTCTTGACAAAGTACCAAACATATGATTCTCTTACAAGTTACGATAATATTAAAATCATGACAAACGAAACGAAGAAGTAGCATAGAGTTAACATTAACAAAGATAACATTGTATCTTTTTATATTCGTCAATTCATCGACGACGACTATGAGGATCGGAGAATGAAAACTTGGCTTCTGCTAGAGAGTCTTAATTGGAATGGCAAATAGTTTCTCACTTGCTTGATGCTTATTAGACTTTCTCTTCTCTGACCATTTTATCTTTAGATGCTTATTGGCTGTTTATAGTTTTGACAACGTGCTTGATTAGAGTTTGATTTAGTAATTGAGACTGCTTACTTTTTTGGCAGACTGGTTTAGTAATGTTGATGTAATTAGGTGACTTGTTCTTTTCCGACGAGGATTAGTGATTGTACATTGAGAAGTCAGCAGAAGAAATAATTCAAATTCGAACCATCTCGATATTATAAAATATTTTTTTTATGTTTAAAGGATATTACCAAAAAATTAAACTCAAGATATCAAACATTTTAATTGTTGTCAAAAAATGAAAACTTAAACATTAATCGTGGAACCAAACCGATCTTCCATGTGTGTCTTGAACCGGTCTTGAATTTGTCTCAAACCCCTATTCAGTTGGTTAATTAATTAGTAACAATACTAAATCAATATCAGCTAATGAAAGCTCTGTAATGGTCTGACCTGAGGAATTGTGCTATCGATGGATGAAAGGCCCTAGTTTTTGCTAACACGGATGTGCTGAACAGAAGGCCCTAGTTTGTTCCTAACACTGGTGTGCTGAACTCAAGACCCTTTGTTTGTTTCTAAACAGGCTTAGCTTTTGCCTTGGTTTTAGCTAGGAATGAAAGGCCCTTCTTTTTGCTAAAGAGGCTTAGCTTGATTCCGGTGAAGCTGGTTGGCAATAACATGACTAGCAGCTAGGAACGAAGGCGCCATTAGCAATTTCGACTACTTACATCGTCAACGGCTTCCCTCAGAGCTGTAATTTGCTCCTTTGATATTGTGTTCACCTACATACATCAAATTAATAAAAATTATCTAAAAATGAAATATGTAATGTATAAAGAAGACTATTAATTATAACTGAAACGAAAAATATAATACCCTTTTCTCGACGGTCCAAATAACGCCTTCGGTGCATGGAGGAATAGTGAGAGAGCCAATGTATCTATAGAATTTGTTGGTTTCAAATCTAATATCTCGAGGATCCACAATTCCTAGATTCATCTCTTTTTTTCCTACTCCTTTTATTCCATTTAGTAGCTGCATGTCAAATAACAAATCATCAAATGAAATTTATTTGTTATTTGTACCATTCCTTTCGTTTTATAAGATGTTTATGGTGAATTCACGAGTATGAAAAAAATTGTATCAACTATGTATTAAACCTAATTTACTTCTAGAGTTTAGTATACCTTTGTGAGGAATTCATCAGGTTCACCTAATTTATAAAGAACTCCAACCACTGCGGTTTTGCCACTATCACTGGTGTGAACCATATGAAGCTCTAGGTCGTAACTGTAACACATTTTACAAACAAATTAATATGTTCATATTCTTTTTTTTGGAAAATCTAACGTAACCGATTTTTTTTTGTGAAACCACAGACCTAGTTCCGTTAATGGTATGCTCAGATGGTGAATGCCAATGACACTGCACCAATTTATAATCTGTTTGATGTATTGTTATTTTTCCAGCGTCTTCTTTCCACGATACCTTTAGGAGAAAAAGATATCAGATGATTAGTTTAGTAATATTAATATAATCAAGTGATATATAACTAAATTGAAATAAAAGTTTTACCATAACGTCATGTCCTCTACTTTGAATAACAGCCAAAGCTGGTTTGTAATGTTTGCTCAAGGCTTGGTCATGAATAAGACTGACTCTTTCGTCAGTGAGATCAATCGGAGATTGAAATTTTCCCGTGCTACAAACTTTCCACTGAGGGTTTAATTTTCCCCATTCTGCTGGTCCTTTTTCTGTTTTTTGTTTGTATGTAAATAGCGGTTTGTTGCCTGTTTTCGAATTATATTAACAAAATCATAACATAAACCTACATTTTAATACCAAAAGATGAATTTTACTAGAATAAAACAGAGATGTAGTAATCATACCGATTTCACGAGCATAAACGAGTAAAATATTAGGGAAAAATAATTCGATGAAAAACACTACAAAAAAGAAAATTGTTTTTGTGTTGGGATCCATTTTTTTTTCTTTTGAGATTTTGCTGAATGTTCTTGACTCTTGAGTATGTTTTGGACATTCACTACTAGAAAGAAGGCAGCTAACGTCGGTTATACTTAAGATTAACGTCGGTTATAAACCGAAGTAAACATATTAGCATCAGTTTTAAAAACGACGTAACATTCGCCGACGTGAATATTTTCAACGTCACTTCAATAAAAAGTTATACAGTAATGCAAAAGATATTTATCATTTTTTACCTGATCCCTTTCTACTATCAGTTGCCTTCTCCAAGATCATATACTGAACTCGTTTATAATCACAATTCCAAGCTTGAATTTGTTGAGATTCCCTACAAAGAAACAACAAAAGGCCAAATTTCCACTAAAGGAACTTGAATGACAATGGTCATATCTTCAATTACTAAGACAAAACTACTTAGTAATTGATTTTAAAACCCTTAACTATAAAGCCTAATTTAGCCTAACATTGTCTAGTCCTACAGCCTGAGGATTACACAACTCTATTCCCGGTCAAATAGGGATATGAAATGGAGCTTCTAAAGTCACACAGTGAAGCAAGCACATGGATCACGAACGATGAAAATCAAATAAAATGTTGCATAGAGTGAAAGCCATACTCGATGTCAAACCAGAGGTAGTAGCACCACCTGCATACTATCTACCTTTGAACCTGAAAAGTCACTGACAAACATTTCACAGGAGAAATGATGGAGTAGAGTTTAGAAATGCTCGCTGTAGTCAAAACGAAGCATCATAAGACTGAACCAGTAACTTGAACTTAAAAAATCAAGCTTCAGCTTTTTGTTTCAGTTTTACTTGATTCTCTCAAAGATGAAACAAAACAAAGGATATGGGATGAAGAATACGAACCCAATTCTCTTGTTATATGCTAACTTGCTCTTTCTCCACCCTATAGCACATAAGATCCAATTCAAGGCATGTCACATAAGATATATAAGAATAGTTTTAAGAAGATAATCAACATAAGACCATTGACAAAATATCCAAACCTTTGAATCGCAGAAAAAGAGTTGTGGCCCGAGGCAAGAAATCTAGCTAAATTCTAAGAAAAATAGAAATATCAAACCAATTTGGAACATTACCTTAAACTCAAGTTGTGATTTCCGATATTGAGATTGGTAAAGAATCCTTGTTAAATTCAAGCTGATCAATCAAACACAACAAAATTCATCACGAAGAATCCTTGTTTAATTCAATCAAACACAACAAAATTCTCCAATCGAAAACAAACCTAGATCCAATCGGAAATGGCCTTAAGCTCAATAATAGTTTTTGAAAGCTCTAACCCCAAATTTCTTCATGAATCCATCGTATATCCTTAATCGAAACTTATAATCCATGTCAGAATCAATCAGAAACACAGCAAAATCTCAAACAATTCGACTAAACATACCTTCTCGATCTCGTAATGTGAGAAGTGAAGCATCTGAGATAGAAATCAAACAATGGATCGAATTGAGAGACGAATAAGTCTTAAAATCTAAATCGGAACCCTAATCTGATTTGAAGATCGATCGATTTTAGCGGTATCGGCGTAAAGTAACGAGATAGCGCATCAGAGATCTTCGGGTTTTTTTTTTGCAGGCATTTTTATTCAAGAGCCATTTATTTATATTTAATTCACTATTAAGAGTTTAAGAGCACGTGCAATGGGGAGAGACTCTCACAGTCTCTCATATATATTATTTTAATATATTTAATTTAGTTTATTTTTTATTTAAATTTTGAAAGATAGAAAAGAATTCATAACCAATAATATTATGACATGTGTTATAATAGTCTCTCAAGGGGTTCTCAAGAGTTCTCATTTGAGAATTGATTCTCATCTCTCTCTCCTACTTTTTATTATTTTTATTTTTTATATTGTTGAGAACTCTTTTGAGAACCCACCACTGCACATGCCCTAAGTCGGTTAATAAACCGACGCCAATTCCCTTATATTTAAAAGTTTTAAAGTCGGTTAACGAAATGACGTTAATTAAGTGACGTCTTCCGGCAAATTTCTTGTAGTGATTATTGAAAGGGTTTAGATATAACCTATTTAAAAGGAGGGTTTAAGGGAATGTTTGTTTTAATGTTCTTTTATGACTTTTGCAGTTGCTGCGGTTATTAGTTAATCGTTTGTTGTAGTATTTTATTGGAAATAAAAACTTTCAGTGACAAAAAATAAAACAGTTCATTTTTCTTCTAATTTGGGCTTCTATAGTATTTAGATGGTGAAATATGACAATTTAACAGAGGACAAAACCGTTAATCTCTTTCATCAAAGAATCTGTTGAACGACCCGAACAAACAAAAGACTAGTATTCAGAAGTTCTTCTAATTTGAATTTTTTTTTTTTGGATTCACTAAAATTTCATTAAAGTCAAACAAAGAGATAGTTTTATTTTAAATCTCTCTATGAGTAAGAGATACGTTAAATCTATACATTGTTGATTGTTTTTTACATAATGTCTGATTCTCATGCTTCCATTCCATAGACTATCTATATGTATTTCTTCCATTTTCATAGAAAAATAATAACACCAAACTTGATACATAAGTTACCGAAAAAACATAAAGTTACTGAAACCCTAAATGAGAAAATGAAATATAGGCTCTTTTAATATGGCCTTCTTCCCCTCTAGTTTTACTTTCGGCGATTCTCTTGCTTCTTTGGTTGTTCAATTACGATTCTGATTGGCTTATTTAGGATTTTCACCTTCAATCGGCTGTACAATTTTCCTTGTTTTTGATACTCTATTACTGTTCATTATGGATCGACTTTGATTTCTACCATATTGAATGAGAGATGAGTAAAACCAAGACAAATTATTGATTAGATACCAAAGCTCCTTCTGTGTAAACATTTCTGTCACGTGATTATCGTATTAGGGACTAGTATATATTCTTCGATGGATTGGCTTGATGATATAATGGATATGTCAAAAAGGACATTTCCAAAAGAAAGTTCTATTGATCGAATGTATTAATCCTTTTCATGGAATACATTTTTAAATGTATTGAATACGTCAGGGAATGGAAAGGATTTGAAGGAACAAATGACTCTTCTCGCCGAGTTTGAGGACAAAACTCTAATCGCACCATATGATCTTATTAGTCTTTCTCACTTTCTTTTTTGACCATATATATATGTTTATTTGTTGTTTCAAGTTTTTACACTGTGCTTGATTAGAGTTTGATTTAGTAGCTAAAGACTGCTTGCTTAGCTTTTATATGACAGACTGTTTTAGCAACGTTGATGTAATCAGGCGACTTGTTATTTTCCGATGATGATTATTAATTAATGGATTACTAATGGTATATTGAGAACCAGCAGAAGAACATTACTGATTAAAAAATGAAAAAAATATTTACTCATTAATTGTTTTCTTAATTAAAGTTCGAAAAAATCTCGATATTACAAAATGATATTTTTGTTAAAAGGGTATAAATTACAAAATAAATAGAAATCAATATACATTATCAAACATTTGGATCATAGAACCAAACTGATCTTCCCTTTGAGTCTTGAACCGGTCTTGAATTTGTCTCAAACCCCTGTTGATCAGTCAATTAATTAAATTACTAATAAAACTAAAGCAATATTAGCTAATGAAACTACATTAGCAATTTCGACTACGTACATCATCAACGGCTTCCCTCAGAGCTGCAATTTGCTCCGTTGATATTGTGTTCACCTACACGGAAATACAAAAATTTACTGATGTACTTTGCAATTTGAAAAGTGATAAATGAATATGTAATGCATAAGAAGAAAAATACTACAAAAATGAAACAAAAAGTATAAATACCCTTTTGACGACAGTCCAAATAACGCCTTCAGTGCAAGGAGGAACAGTGAGAGAGCCAATGTATCTATAGAATTTTCTGGTTTGAAACCTTATCTCTCGAGGATCAATCATCCCTAGATTTATCTCTTTATTTCCCACTGCTTTTATTCCATTTAGTAGCTGCGATCATTTTTTTCGAAAAATTACTAATCATCAAACATAGTTTATAAAAATATGATCTTTTAATAATATGTATTTATTATTATTACCTTTGTGAGGAATTCATTAGGTTCCCCTAATCTGTAAAGAACTCCGATAACCGCAGTTCTGCCTCGAGCACTCGTGTGAACCATGTGAAGCTCTAGGTCGTAGCTGTAATAAAGACAAATTTCGTGTAAATACCACTTATGGGCATATAGTTGAAAAGGCCTATAAAGGCCCATTAAAAATGAAAACAACAAACCTAGTTCCGTTAACGGTATGCTCAGAGGGTGAATGCCAATGGCATTGCACCAATTTAAAATCCGTTTTACGTATTGTTATTTTCCCAGCATCTCCTTTCCATGATACCTTTAAGAACGAAAAAAGATTTCAAATGATTAGTGTTGTAGTAATAATATGATTAAGTGAGAAACTACATTTATAATAAAGTTTTACCATAATGTCATGGCCTCTATTTGTAATTACAGCCGGAGCTGGTTTATATTGTCTTGTCCATGCTTGATCATGAATAAGACTGACTCTTTCGTTAGTAAGATCGATTGGCGATTGATATCTTCCGGTGTTACAAACTTTCCATTGCGGATTTATTTTTCCCCATCCCTCGGGTCCTTTTTCTGTTTTTTGTTCGTATGTAAATGGAGTTTCGTCGTCTGTTTCCGGATTAAATTTTAAAAATCAATCATAAATTTGAATTTTGATACAAAAGATTAAATTTACTTGAATGAAATAGAGATATAGTAATCATACCAACTTCCGTATGTGCGAGTGAGATATTAGGGAAAGATAAATAGATGAAAAACATAGCCAAGAAGAAAATTGTTTTTGCGTTGGGATCCATTTTTCTCTTCTTTTGAGATTTGATTTTGCTTATTATGTTCTTGACTATGTTTTGGAGATTAAGAAGGGTTTAGAGACAACCTATTTAAAAGGAGGCTTTTGGGGGAGGTTTGTTCTGCTGTTCTGTTATGGTTTTTGCCGTTGCTACGATTATTAGTTAATAATCTAATGTTACTATTGGAAAAATAGGAAAAAACTGAATGCTTAGTGAAACCATTTCGTTGAGTTTTCTAATTTGGGGTTTAATAGTAAATATATGTGAAGTATGACATTTTAACAGAGAACAAAAACGACCTGGACAATAGAATCAGCTCTATCATAATAGAATATGCCAAACGACCAAACAAACAAAACTTACTGCCAAATTATTAAGTTACATAATTTCTTGTTAACCTTTTTTTTCTTGTTTTCATTAAAATACCAAGAAAATAAAATGACTTAAACCATAATAAAACTAATGCAAAATGAGTTAAGAATAATTTGGCGGGTATAAGAGCCATAGTAAAAAAGATTTATGTTTTGTGAAACCACCCGTGATGATTTTCCAAAAGATGTCACGAAGATAGTGTTCTAAAATCTCATTTCTGACTCAAAATTACAGCAGTACCACAAAAATTGGAAAAGGACAAGATAATAATAAAAAAAACCTCCATTGTTGTTGTTTGATTGAAGCTTCAACTCTCAAAAAGAACCCAGAAACGAAAGGTGTAGACTTTGGACCTGAAGAATATAGTACTCATATTGTGAATGACAACTATCAATTAAACTAAGTCACCGGTTTCTAAACTATAATGAACACAAAAGCATGAAATTCAGATGACTAAGAACAAGATTCTAGGGCTAACAACCAATACTTTCTGCATATTCTTGGGTACTTCTAAGAGCTAAATTCATTTTCCTTAACAAGTGTTCAATCAAATCCAACAAGCATATAAAGGTAACAGCCTTTTGAATTAAAGAGTTGTTTGTATAAATTACCTGACTTTATAACCATCAAGCTTGAGCTTCATCAGCTTTCTTATCCTCGGTTTCTTTAGCTGCAGCTACACTTGCTTCTGCTCCCTCTGCGTTTTCCTCAGTTGGCTGAACCTGTTCATCTTCAGGCAACGGTTCCTCAACATAATCATTCTCAAACGCATCAGGTGGAACCTCGTAAATCCTCACTTGAGGCTTCGATGGATCCTTCACAAGAACATATTTCCCTTCGCTAAGTTTCATACACAGATCAACTATGGATTTCACAATCCCCCACATGTTAGAAGTGTTGAGATTAATCTGTCCAGCGAAATCCTTCGGCTTATACCCCAAAACAGATAATATAACATGGTTGAAATGATCACGAGGATGAACCCTAGAGACAAAACCAATCTTCATCATATCAGCATTAGCCAAGAGAGCTTGTGCAGTCCATTTAGCCAACTTGTTCCCATTGTTCTTCAATTCGGTAGCTAAAACCGCACCTCTCTGAGTTTCAAGCTTCTGCCTCCAATCAACACCAGAGTACTTAGGATCAAACTCATTAAGAGCATTCAAAGTAAGGAACGACCTCTGGTTATTGAGTTCAGCAACACTCTGTAACTCACACCTCGCAACAAGATGCATATTCTCATCAAGCTTCCATCTTCTGTACCTATAAGCAACAGAAGCAATCTCTTCACCTTCATTAGCAAATGGATTCGCCTCATCGAAAGTCTCCTTCTTCCATCTCTCACCAAAACCTGCTGCGAAAAGTTCTGATTGATATAAGCAGCTTCCACACCTAGAGAGTAAGCAGAATTGATATCATCTTTAGCCTCAGGCAATGGCTCTTGAGATGTTTCATGCACAGACAACAAATCAAGCTGTGATCCATCTCTCTTGTCAAAGAACAGTTTGTTACCAACACGTTGAATAACAATATCCCAAGAGTAAACAGATCGAGGAGCACACATAAGAGCAGCTAATATAGCATCAGTTGCGAAAACAGTAGCTTTGTCTTCCTTAGCTAAACGCCTAATCACAGGATCATCACTCGTAGTGACTTTGAAGAAGTTCCTGTTCTTGAAACGCTCGAGTCTGCGTTCGTTTTTCGGTGTTGTGCGATCGAAAACGCGGTTGTAGTACTCAAGTCCACCACAGAGAAGGAGATCTTCTGGCTCTTGAACTGTGAACGAGAGCTTCGAGAATGTTGAGAAAGGGATCTGCTCAAGCATGTTCCATTCCGGCTGAATATCAACGGATGATTTGAAAGCGGCGGCTTCACGGCGCTGGTGATGGATGTTGTTACGGTTGTTATTGTAGAGACGATCACGACGAGCTCGTTCCTTCTCAGCATCACGCTTCTTAGCTTCGACTTCTTCATCTCGCCGTTGAGGAAGTTGATTCCGATTGTGGTGAGGATTGAAACGCCATTTAGGTCCGAATTTAGGACGCGGCGGAGGTTTACCGTCGACGAGACGGAAAGCTGCGTCCTCATCAGGATTTCCACCGGAGGAAGTGAGACCAAATCCTTCGTCAATAGCGAAAGCGGAGAAATCGAAAACTGCAGATGGATCTGATTTGGATCCGGTGGGAGGACGAGCGGAGGGATTAGAGAGATTGCGAGTCCAATCAGCTACACGGCCGAGCTTATCGGAACGGGAGAAGGAAGCGAAAGGAACGTTTGGGAGAAGATTTGCAGCGGCGACGCTGGTGGAAGAAGCGGAGGAGGAAACGTCGGAAGCGTCTGGAGGACCCCAGCCATCGGAATTGAAAGGAACGGCGACGAATTCGAAAGCTTCGGCTACCATTTTTTGAGAAGATAGTGTTGCAGCTGTGTGTGGGAAAAGCGGAAACCCTAATTCTCTCGATGGAGAGAAAATGTAGAAAAAAAACGTTTTTGTTAATGTTTGGGCTCATGGGCTTTAAATGAATATTATTTGGACCAAATTAACATCAGTTTATTTTTCAAAGCCCATATACAAAACTTAAATCATGTTTTTTCTTTTCTGATTATTGATTGATATGAGACAAATGTTCATATATATATTCCACTGTTCCACAGCTTTAAGTAGAGATAAAAGTATATATTATGCTCACAAATGAAACATCACTTTCATAGCACATGATTAATTCAAGAAAAGGAATCTGACACCAAACATAATTCAAGAAAAGGAACAAGAACATAAACTTTTAAAAAAAAAAAGGAACAAGAAATCAATAATGAACACTGTTCACAAACTTCTCCAGTCTTTCAGGAATTTGACTCCTAGCTCCATAATCACATTCTTCCACCTATATATATTAAAATATAAATTAAATTTAGTTCACAATAACATGGATATTGATACTAGGAATCAACTAGTAGAAACTTACCATCCGATGGGACCAATGTATCTTCTTAGCATTTTTGAGTGCAGTTTTTATATAAGACAAACTAGTATAAATATCATATATATATACCTAACTAGTTTGATCTCATTCCCACTGTCTATACAATCTGAATTAGACCTAGTTTAACTTTTAACATGGTAGTGTAGTAGCAAATTTGATTCCTAATAATTCCATATCAAAAATGTTTATTTTTCGATTTATACCTTGCAGTGAAGGGTGTGGAAGACAGCATCATCAACAATGGAGTATCCAGCATGAGTGATCTCAGCTCCTATTCTTCAGTGAGAAGACGAACTGATCTCACAGAACATAAACTTGTGTTCCAAGCTTGTCACAAGAAAGATGTGAAAAATGGAACCAGTTTCTTGAATCTCGATTTTTGGCAGCCTTCTAGGCTCGGAGACATCCACACTCGAAGAAACCGATGAAGATTCGATGGAATTCAATTTCTTGAAAGTTGTAGTCGCAACAAGTTTGCTTTTCCTTTCTCTCTTTTTCTCCACGTTCACTTGTAGCTTCTTGATGTAGTTTGTAGCTTCATCTAGCTCATCAGGTAGTGTTAAAGGCTCCTAACATCAAAAAAGAAAAGGTTTATATATATTAAGATATCACACATAGGAATCAAAGATTATATATACATATTAGAGAACCAAAAGAAGAAGAAGAAGAAACCCTAGAAGAATGATGAGGAAGAAGAGAGATGAGTTCTGAGTAGAGAGATTTCATTTGCATCCTTCTATTTTTCTCAATCGTTTTGCGATCTACAGATCTTGATTGACCTGTGTTTGAATGGCTCGGCTCCATTGTTTTTTTCTTCTTGAATTGTTTCACATAGACCATGATGATAAACTCGATGTTAGCCACGCTTATATAAAGGAGGAGGTTGGTTTAAGTGACATCTGATAATTAGTTTGTGCTACTAACAATTTACTGGAAAAAGTTATATGTTACCAAAGATTAAAAAGAAACAAAAAACAAAAGCAAGACAAAGCGGAAAAAAGTAGGTTCTTTAAATATATTTCTTGACTCGTTATGGTCAATTATATATTTTTATGTGTTCACATAAGTAGTTTTTAAATGGGTCTGTTAATAATGTCAAACTGGAGTGAGAGTCAACACTAGTTTATAAGAGGCATATGTTAAGGCAAGGCCTAGGCACGAAGCGGATATCCGGAAATTTTGTGATATTTGATATTTGATTCGTCTTAACCGAATACTCGATTTTGTGATTTGCTTTGATTCGGAAATTTTCGGATATCCGGAAATTCGAATATCCGGATTTTTTTGTGATATTTGCGAATATCCGGAAATTCGAATATCCGGATTTTTTTGTGATATTTGCGGATATCCGCTATACATCTAAATGTTTTAAAAAAACCGTAAACTATATAAAATAACAAAATATCAGATATCAAAGTTCTTGTTTGATATGCTTTCAAAATATGTTCCAAAAAACAAACGTAACCATTGTTGATATCATCGATCAAGAACATGCCATCAAACTAATTCCCAAGCCCAAAAGATACAAATACACAAACTATATTATGATATATATATATATATATACATAATTATATATTCTAATATATATAGAAAAATACGGATCGAAGCGGATATCCAACTTTTAAAAAAACAGTATTTGGTATTTGGTTCGGTTTTAACGAATATTATATTTTTCTATTTGCTTTGCTTCAAAATCTTACGAGTATTCGGGTTTTTCGAATCAAATCAAATCGAATACCGAATCGAAGCGGATCGAACGAATATTTTCCCCAGGCCTATATATCTACAATTGACTCAAAGTAGAACATGATAGTAATAAATTAAAGTGAAAAATGACCAACAATACTACAAAACACAAGAATCATCCACACATCGGTCGTTAATTTTGCATAGAAAACTCATTAACTCGATCACATGGTTTTTGGTCAATACATATTCAAATAAAAAATTTGCTAGAACTATTTTGAGCAAATAGTCCAAAATAAAATCTTTATAAATTAATATTCGATAAATTAATATATTTCTCACGTTTTAAATTATTTTGTTTTTATCAATGATTTTTTTTTAATATAAATTATCATAATTCCAACATTAATTTATAGAATTTTTTTATATTTGAATTTTGGACCATTGCATTGCATGTTTTTGATCAATAATTTTCACTCTCATATATAGCGTTTGTTCTAACTTGGGGTTCGATATAAGTTATACTCAATTCTCCAATCGGTTGAGTTGATCGTAGTTACATTTACTTGATATAGTTTTATATATTTATATGTATGACATTTACTTTAACAATTATTTTTTTCTGAATTCCATCACTGGAAAATACTTAAAATTGTTTTCTATAAATGCAAAAGGAAGAAGGATAAAAGAAAAAGGTTTTGAAATGGAGAGTGGTGGGGTGAGTATGGTCAACTTTTTCGCTGAGGCAATTGCGTGGATTTTGTTGAACCACTCGAACTTAGTCGACATAAAGAAGACACGCTCATAATATTTTGTTCCCATCACCAATTTGTAGATAAAATCTTTATCATATACAACTCTTCTCTATTACTATGTACATGCTAGATTAGATGTTTTTACTTTTCTCGAAAAAAAAAAAATCGGATACGCTTTGATTAAATGTTTGTTTGTCCGTTAGTTCACATTTCCACCAAAATCCAAAAAACTAGTCAAATTCGTAACGCAATCGACATCAACAATCGGTTTTCATTGAGTGTACTTCACATTCTATTACACATCCTTAAAATTTGTATGGATTTTTATTTATGAGATCCAATTAACAAAATCATCTCATCTTAGGATACTCATCATGTGTAGGACATAGAAGGTCGAATCACATTCTCAAATTTCAACAAAAATTTTTATTAATCCATAAAAAAATCTGTAAAACCTTAATAATAATACAATGCTTTAAGAAAGTGAATATGACTTACATTCATACATCAAAGATAGCCCTCTAGCAAAACGTTTCCACCTAATTGCTTAGACTGCAAATCTTTCACATGTTTTGATTCTAACAACTTCATAGACGCGATCTGTCTCTCATCTTTTGTGCTCCATTCCGGCAAAACCTCAATAATTACTTTCTGCAGTAGTTTCTGCTCAAATCCATCTCTCAGAAGAACTTCAAGGTCTTTGATGTTCCCCCTCAAATCCAACAAGACACTGCATAATCCACGGTTGTAACAATAATCCAAAATGGAATCCAAGTTTATCGTTTCCAAGTACTACGGTTTCAACCCCGCTACTACCTGATTTCGGATTCTGCAACCAATTCCTTTGCGGTGAACAGTACAACTTTTGGACCCGATTCTTCCCCAGTGTTGGAAGTAGCAAGGATAGGAGGCTGTTGACCATTGCTAGCAACTATGATTTGAATAGGTTGAATTGAAACATTAGTAGCTTCTTGTGAGGAAATGCTCGTGAGTTCATCCGATAACGAGGAAGAAAGTATTATCGCATCATACTCCTGTAATAGCTTCGAGTAGTATCCACCAGTATCCGAAGCCCCTTCCCCAATCTTGTCCAGCAAACAACCATTGACAGACATAGAATACCTGCAAAGATTTTCAAAACTTAAAAACAATCTATGACTCAGTTTTGTCAAGAGAAGCAATGAACTTTACCTGAGGGCAAGGAAAGGCTTCCCTGTAAACATCCGATGGATGAATCCCTCATTCATCTTCTTGCATAACTCTTCTTCAACACCCACAGTAACATCAATTCCAGCATCTTTCAACCGACTAATACCCGAAGAAGAAACGATTGGATTCGGATCAACCATCCCAACTACAACTCTCTTCACCTTAGCCTTAATCAATGCCTCTGTACACGGTGGTGTTCTTCCGTAATGATTACATGGTTCTAAGCTAACATAAGCAGTGGCATTCTCAGCTAACTCTCCAGCATCTCGAAGAGCAAACACCTACCAATGCCAATAAACAACTCTCACCATAAATCAAACTCATTAACACCAACCCACCTCCAATTCCACAATCAAGAATCAAAGTTTGCTCATTTTCAGTAACCCAACAAAGAAAAATTGAATCTTTGTTACCTCAGCATGAGGCTGACCAGCTTTGGGATGAAACCCTTGCCCAACAATGTCGCCGTCTTTAACAATGACACAACCTACCATAGGATTAGGACTTGTACACCCAATTGCTCTCTTTGCTAGTTCCACAGACTTCCTCATATAAAACGAATCATCGACTTCAACGCCTGCTTCTCTTCTCATGGCAGCCAAAACTGGATTGCTGAAACCAGTCTGAGATTTATGTAATCTTTTGAAGAAACTGTGATTTGGGTTCTGAAGTGAAGTGAGGTTGAAAATGCGGCGATGATTTGAGGAGAGTGATGATAAAATTGGAATTGAGGTTCGAGGAGTGATCGAAGGAATCGAAATTGGGAGACATGTGATCTGCATATCACTACAGAATCTTTTTCTCGACTAAAATCGAACCTCGATGATTAAATTGCGGATTCGCCGTTTCCGTCTGGAAATGTACGGCAGCTGCGGGAATACAGCCGAAACCCTAACATCAACGGTGTAGAGAAATGGAGACGACGACAACGACGAGAAGATTGGGATTCGTAATTCAAAGAGCCGGTTACGACTAACCGGAAACCGTAACAATCATAACCATCGGTGTACTATGCTATTTTTAATTTTGTTTTAGACAGTAATATGTCCGGTTTAAGAAACACCATTGAACTGGGCTCTCAGGCCAAGACACTGGTCTCAATAGCCAACTCTCAAGTTTATTTCAAGTTTTCAACAAACCTGTTCAAATATTCTGCAATATTGGAAGTGATTACCCAAATACATTAATCATTGCTTCTTTTTTTTTGTTCCAACATAAATCAATAGAGATAAGAAATAAAGAAACCCAAAACACAAGAAAAAAAAAAAAACATACACTGTTCATTGTATCTATCGATATAGAACTTGCTCAAATACAGTAAGTACTCTGCAATCTTGGTAGTGATTAACCAAATACATTGCTCATTGCTTTTTTTTTTTGTTCTAACATAAATAACTATAGATAAGAAATAAATAACTCAAAAGACAAGAAAAACAAAAAACAAAACCATACTGAAATCATTGAATCAAAACAGTTTTCTGCGTCTATACCTCCTCTCATGTCTTAAATTAGGGTCAGAAAGTAGCGAAGTTGTATCTATCATCTCAACTTGGGGAGGACAAGGCATCGATTCCATCCACCGTGGGAGCACGAATTTTAATAACCTGGCCCAATATCTGAAGTTGTTCATGACATAATCATGATCATCATCTTTGAGGATTGTATTCTTCTGTGTCCGCAAGTTACATGATACCAAATGACGATTCTGATTACTCCGTAGATAGACAATATCACTACCAAATGGATGCATTTTCATAGGTACATAATCACCTATAAACATTGGGAGGTTGATTTTCCACAAAAGTTGCCAAGAGTCATCGTTGTTCAACCTCCAAACCTTTAAAACGGTTTCTTCCTTTTGAGCTAATTTTCTCACACACATGAAAAATCTTCCGGATGTAGTCAAGGCTCTTCTTTTTAAGTCTCCATCGTCGCTGTGATTCGGATGATCGGGGAGAGGTATAACCCGAAATTGATTGGATTCAGAATAGAAATCATGAGCTACAAGTACTCCAGGTTGATTAGGATTGGAATAGTAAATCGTACCATTCACAGTCACATAACCAGTAATAAGGCACCTGCTGATTTGGTGAGGGCAGTGAATTATCTTGGAAGTCCAAAGCCCTGTCTCAGAGGAATACAGAAACACACTCATGGTGGACAAGAGATTATTATTCGTCCATTGTTGTGGTGTAGGAAATCTAACCACTTTGAAGCTCAAAACGACGCCATCATCGTCCACGCGAGTCACCAAACCAAAAACAAGAGAAGAATCGTTTGGAGATGGAGGAATTTTGACCCACTGTTGTAAAACTGGATTGCCCACAAAGCAATGACGATCATATCCTCTAATCAAAACCAACCCATTGGAATAAAAACGAACCAGTGGGATTATAGAAGCTATAGACTTTGGAAGATACCATGCCTTGCACCCATAGAACCTTATGAGTTCTTTTCTTCTGCAGCACCATAGCGACCACGAGGTAGAGTTTTGGTGCAGAGACAGAAATACACGGCGGAAATACACAGTTTCGATTGCCGATTTCCATGTTTTGCATACCGATTTGCATCTATAGATGCTTCTCAAAGACAGCCTCGCTAGAATCTCCGTCAATATCGCCTCCGGGAGGAGATGTATTGTTGTTTCCATTCGGACTTTGGGATTAGGGTTTCTAGGATGGAGAAAGATCATGTAATACAAAACGTAACATTTAAGTTAACATTCCTAATTCAAAGACTCGGTTAAGTCTAACCGGAACATAAAACATGATCTAGCAACTTCCATGAACAGAGAAAATAACTGGGGAAAAAAATGAAATTTCATTCACTCATGAGACATGAGCAGATTTCGTTTTTTTTACAAAGAAAATGTTAAATAAACTAACACAAGACACACAACACACTACCTTGACAAAGGAGAACACGTTCAGAGGAACCAGACTCCATCGGAACCTACAAAACAAACACATTGTTCCTAAATTGAAGAAAGATCTTCATAAATGGTCTTAATACCAGGTCTCTCAGAAACCGATCTTATACACCTCAAAGCAATCCCAAGAACTTCTTTCATGCCTTTCTCTGTAACTGGATCACTTCCCATCTCCTGAGACAAGACCGAATCAAAGCATTCCGCACCGCGTCCTTCTGCAACACGTAACCTAACCCAATCAGTTAGATCAACACCTTCTTGTTCACCTGTGATCACATCTCCTGCACATCTTCCCGTTAGGATCTCAAGAAGTATCACACCGAATGCATAGACATCTGATTTGAATGAAGGTAACGGTTTTCTTGAAGCTGCTAGCTCGGGAGCTCGGTAACCGAGGATGCCTGCGTCTAGAATCTGTTCGACTGTGCCTGCTTGTGTCATGAGACGGTGGAGGCAGTAATCGGCTACACGTGCGTTTAGCTCTGCTCCATCTAAGAGAATGTTTGTTGCCTTGAGGTTACCGTGTGGAACAGCTCTGTCGAAATGGAGGTAGTTGAGACCACGTGCTACGTCAACTGCTATTTTCAACCGTTGGATCCAGGCTAAGGGAGGGCCTTTCCTGCCTGGTCGATCTGAGATCAAACAAGAACCGTAAGCTTGACGAAAAATACTGCAGAAACATACAAATAATACTTAGATAAGTTTATAGAAAGGAGTATTACCATAAAGGAAGCTGGCAAGGCTTCCAGGCGATATATAGTCTGAAAGAATAAGCTTTTCGTGTTGCGTGGGACCCCAATAGTAACCTCGGAGAGTCACAACATTAGGATGTCTAATGTTAGAAAATTTCTTCACCTCTTTAGCAAACTCCTTTCTCTGCTTTGCCACGCCTTCTCTTAGCCATTTTACGGTTAAAAACACTCCATTATCCAGTGTTGCCCTATAAGAAGTCCCGTGGCTGCTTCTTCCCAGTACTTCAGCTGGTGCCCTCGATAATTCCTCTGGAGTCAACTTGATTGAATCATCCAGAAAATGCAGCTCTCCCACAAGTCTATCCGGTGACCTAACATCAAGCCGTGCTAGTTGCTGATCAGCTGGGAATGAATCTCCTGAGCCAGGTGACCATGATAAATTGCTGGTCTTGGAAGGAGAGAAGCCGGTTGCAACAGCTAGTTTTTCATCTGGACTGAGGATTTCAGATGACGAGCCTTTTCTTGAAGCAACGAGATCTTCAGCAGAGACAACCATACCACCTCCACTGCCTGAGGGTATTGTTTGAGCCCGCCTATTAATTTCTTTACCTGTAATACTACGCTCTTCGCGTCTTCTTGATTTGCAGATGCAGAAAAGGAGGATAGCCACAAGGATGAGAATAATTAGAGCAACGGCGCACGAAACTATTATGACAACCTTAACAAGTTTGTTCGTGGATTTATTCTTGGAAGCTTCTGATGCACTTGAACCAGGGGATCCAGCAGGCAAGGAGAGCTTGCTGTTTCCAGGATAAAATGAAGGCGGAGGGAAGTTCTTCAGATTCTCTGGTACAGTCCCTGATAGATCATTGTATGACACGTTAAAGGCCATAAGGCTGCTAGATAAGTTGCTTGGGAGTGGTCCAGTGAAATGATTCTGGGATACGTCTAATGAGCTTAGAGAGACCATGTCATTCATGGAGCTAGGCAAAGAGCCAGACAAATTATTTGCTGCGAGATTCAGCACTTGAAGATTGGTTAAAGATCCGAATGCACCAGGAAGATCGCCGTCAAACCGGTTGTGAGAAAGATCAAGAAGGCGGATTCTGGAACCAGAAGAAGGCAGGGGTCCAATGTTACCTGTCATGCCATTGTTTTGAAGGTGGATTTCCTCCAAAGTGGGCATAGACAGTATTGCACCTGGAATTGGCCCTTCTAAGCTGTTAGAACTTATATCAAGTACCCGAAGTTTCGGATAATGGGTTGGAATCCGTTCTGGAAGTGAGCCTGTGAGCTTATTGTAGGAAAGATTAAGATGATTTGCTCGCAGAAGCTGGGGAGTTACGTCTGGGAACGACCCAGTGAAATGGTTCTGGCTGAGATCAAGGTACTCGATATTCTCCCATTTTGACCATCTTGTAAGATTTCCTTCAAACTGGTTGTTTGAGAGGTCAAGTAAAACACAGCCCCCAGTCAAGAGAGGGAGCTCCCCGGTCAGTGAATTTGAAGAAAGATCAAGGGTGTGAAGAGTTGTTGACATGATAGAACTTACTGGCCCTGGAACACAAAAGGAAAACCAAAAAAGAAAAATATTAATTAGACTTCTAGTTTTCTTGATGCCACCATTAACATATAACAATTCCCACTCTGTAGAAGGTAAAGTCAAGAGCATACCTGAGAGATTGTTGCCACTTAAATCCAGCGTTTTTAAAAGCAAGGAGTCACCTTTTAACAAATTATTGGGAAGGGAACCTGAGAATCTGTTGTTGCTAAGCTTGAGAACTTCAAGATCATAGACATAATTGAAACCTGGTAATTCTCCAGAAAACTGGTTGTAGCTAAGATCCAAGACTTTTAAGTTCTGAAACAACTGAAGCCCACTAGTCAATGAACCTTCAAGCTGATTATGGCTGAGATTTAAGTGCTTGATGCTCTCAGAAACACCAGGTAACAGTTTCCCAGACGTTGTCACCAATCTGTTTCCACTGAAATCGACATAGCTCGCATTCGTTAAAAGGAAAAACTCCCCATCAAGATTACCATCAATTGAATTACCATGCAAATCAAGCACTTCAAGACTTGAAATCAACTCGAAGCCCCTTGGGATTTTCCCCGTGAATCCATTAGATGACAGATTCAGGTACAGCAGATCGTTCAGCCTTGTCAAGGACTTTGGCAAAGGTCCAGATAAAGAGTTGCGACTCATATCCAACGACTGAAGCGAAATCAACCCACCCATAGATTCCGGAATCTCACCAGAAAAGTTGTTACCAGCTAAAGAAAGATTCCTCAAGCTTACTGATCTACCAATCTCTTTAGGCAACGAAGAAGAGAACAGATTATCAGATAAATCAAGGAACTGGAGGCTTTTGAAACTGCCTAAATCATTTGGCAAGACACCAGAAATGGAATTGTTGGCCATAGATAGTTTGACAAGCTTTGTCAAGTTGGAAAACATACTGAAATCAGCATCAGCAGTCAAGCCTAAATTATCCAAAACAACACCAGCCACATTACCGCCATTGCAGACAATACCATTCCACGAAGAAGGACAACCATTGAAGTCAATAGACTCATCGTTCCATGAATTAAGGACAAACCCTGTAGGGTCATGTTTGATCCCTTTCTTGAATTCAAGCAATGCCATGATGTCCTGTGATGGAAGTTGACCCATTGCAGACAGGAAAAACATGGAGAGTAACAAAATCCTAGAAAGATTCATCCTTTACTTCAAATATTTCCCCCAAAAGCTACAGTTTTTGCAGAAACCCAACAACTTTTCCAGCTCACCAACGCAGAAAATTCATGGAACCCCAAGTAAATCTGACATAAAAGATAATGAAATAAGACAAAACCCATCAATGTTACCAAAAAAAGTTTCAATCTTTCTGCAAAAAAGGCAACAATACCAAAACTTTCACTGAGAAAAAAAACTAAAGGAGCTAAAGAAACTTTACCTTAGATGAACAAATCTTCTGAGAAACCTCAATCAAACAAAATGCAGGATGCTATTGAGTGAGAAGAGACAATCTTGAATCAAAGGGAATCAGCTGAAAAAACATTAAATGAACAATGGGCTATTCAATATTTGGGTCCCATTCCGAGATCTAACCTAACTCCAAAGCAAAGAGATAAAATGGAAAGTAAGGATTTTTAACTTATGGACATGAAAAATACCTTCACGGCTTCACTGCAAGAACAATGCCGACAGAGTTGAAGAAGAAGGAAGACAAAACCTTTAAAGCAGAATCATTTTGTTCATTAGCTCATGAACTGCACGGGGTTTTGGATTTGGCTCTTAACACTGTAGAGTGTAGACTGAGCTAACTGAGAGAAATCTTTGTGGGTCACTTTAAAATTAAAAACCCTCAAAGATTGTCACTGTTTAAGAACAAAAGAAAGAAGCCAAAACAAAATTAAAGATAGAGAAGTTTTTTTGCTAGTTTTCACGTTCGACAGTGACGAACGACAAGACCTTGTAAAAGGGTAAGTCTTGAAGCGTGTGAACAGCCAAAAAAAACACCAATCAAAAACCCTAAATAAAAATAAAAAGGAAAATAGCAAGAAATTATTATTTTTCTTTTTTTTCATGGGTTCACGAGAAGGGAATTATATATTAATTTTACTTTTTCATAGTCTTTTCAGTGAGGAAAAAATAAAATAGTTTAATTACCCGCCAGGAATGGCCCGGGAAAGGAATCCAAAAAACTGAAATAAAGTTACTTACACTCATGTTTTTATTTTAGTGAGTGACCATGGTGGACGTGAAATAGTTTATCCAATATGGTTATGAGTCTTTGTCCTTGCCTTTAGTGAGGGTAAAACTGTCATTTTAACTACACCAGAGAGATTTGACGACGACATTGGGAAAATAAGCGAAAATTGCGCAGTGTTCTAATAAATCTTGGTAGAAAATTGCAATAAATGAATTACATCAAGAATAAATAATAGGGAGAACAAAAACAGTAATGATAGTTTCGAGTGATTATTATTACACGAAAATACTTAAATACAGAAATAAAAAGCAAGTAAGGAAAATGTGTAGTAAATGAAACATGAATTTTTGAACAAACCAGAAAAAAGAGTAATGAATATTCGGAGAAATAAATATTTTGAAATGATACCACATTAATTTGTAGTAAAATGTAGAAGAGATATGAATACCACGTAGGACAATGGGTCCCACATGCTGACTACGTTGACTAGGGAAGACCGGAAGAGACAAAGGGTACTATCAGGCCCATTATTGGGGTTTTACTGATAATTTTGAAGAGTAACAATCCAATTTCAGAAGAAACTGATAATTAAGGGGTCATAATTCAAATCTGAGTGTTTTGATGAGGTTTACACACACTTACGTCTAAAACTCACTCTCATTAGCTAATTGTTAACTCGCTCTGAGTTTGAAGACATTCATCAATGGCGATTCGCAGAGCGCAAACTCTACTTTGTCTTTCCAAATTCAAAACCAATTTCGTGTTTGGGTCGCTCCACCGATTCTCTTCGTCGTCTCAAAATTCAAATCAATTCCAGGTTCTGCTTTTTAATTTCCTTCATGATCAGAAAAAACAATCTCTTTATCTCATAAGTCATAAGTACCTAGAATTTTCTTAAAACGTTCCAAAAACATGATCTTTAAGGTATTTGGAAGAAAAGATCTTAACTTTTATAATCTCGAGCATCGTTTACAAGAATTTTTGGGACCAAATTGCTTATTGATCTTGATCACTTATCTAAATTTATCAATTCAATTTGTCTAGATAAGATTTTGTTAACTGCAAAATTTGTCTGAACATTGCTCTGTGATTCTATTCAAAATTGATGTAAATGAAATTCTCATTTTTGCTGTTTTGTCAGAATGTTGGTTTTATAGGACTTGGAAATATGGGATCTAGAATGGTGAATAATCTAGTTAAAGCTGGATATAAAGTTACCGTTCATGACATGTAATGTCCTTTAGTGCGTTCTTGCTGCCTATCAATTTTCATATTTGGTTACTGTTGATTCATTTGATTAACTTTTTCTGCTCATATACTTGTGTTTGATATCACAGAAACCGTGATGTTATGAAGATGTTCACCGAAATGGGAGTCTCTGCTAGAGAAACTCCTTATGAAGTTGCACAAGATAGCGAAGTTGTGATTACGATGTTGCCTTCTTCATCTCACGTAAGTTATTACCTTTAAGAAGAGTTTTATATCAGAACAATTTGAAATATCGTCCTGTTAGTTATATGATTAGATGCATTATTGGGATGTATTAGACGGTTGAAACTCGAAAGAATGTAAATCTTCAATTGATTGGATGTTTTTTATGAAGAAACAAAAATTGTGATTGATGTAGGTGATGGATGTGTACACAGGAACAAATGGGTTGCTTCTTGGAGGAAATGCTATAAGACCTGCTTTGTTAATTGATTCATCCACTATTGATCCACAAACAACTCGAAAAATCTCGTTTGCTGTTTCTAATTGTAATTTGAAAGAAAAGAGAGGTAAAGCATAGATAGGATTTGGAAGGAAGTTTGTTTCTTCTTATGAGTAAACAACAGCTTCATTTTGTTCTGCTTGTCAACAAGTCGAGATTGTTTCATTTTCAATAGTTTCAAGCATCGTTGATTCAGGTAATTGGGAAAAGCCGGTCATGTTGGATGCTCCCGTCTCTGGAGGTGTTCTTGCTGCAGAAGCTGGTACACTTACTTTCATGGTATCTTGTCTACTCTCTTATCTTCTACATTATTTGAGTCACATCCTTCATAGATGCTCATGAATCATGATTATATATAACATCAAATTTGCTGATTATATGTGCCTTGTATACCTATAAGAGTACAATGGCATTGATACAATTGCACGTTTTGTAGGTTGGAGGTCCCGAAGATGCTTACGTAGCTGCTAGACCAATATTTCAGTCAATGGGTAGAACCTCCATCTACTGTGGTGGTTCAGGAAATGGCTCTGTAAGTTCACTGCTATACCATGTTTTTCTGTTACATTATCTAATCTTTGGTATACTTGTCTCTGCAATTCTTAAGATGAATTTTTTCGATGTAGACTGAGAAACGACATGTTGTTTTTCAAACTTAGGCTGCAAAGATTTGTAACAATTTGGCAATGGCTGTGAGTATGCTCGGCACTTCAGAAGCCTTAGCTCTTGGTCAGTCACTTGGAATATCTGCCAGTACCTTAACAGAAGTCTTAAACACATCTAGTGGCCGATGTTGGAGTAGGTATGTAAATGAAATGACCCTTCACATTTATAAACGCAGTCTAGTTAAGTACGAACCCCCAAATTCTTAACTTCATTATATTCTTATAACCGCAGCGACGCATACAATCCAGTTCCAGGAGTTATGAAAGGTGTGCCATCTTCAAGGGATTACAATGGCGGTTTTGCCTCCAAACTTATGGTCAGTTTCTTACCAAATCTCTATATCGCTGATCCTGTAAAATGTCTCTAAAGCACATGTCATTTGTTACACAAGTACTTTCATGTATATAGTGTATCAAAATGCAGGCTAAAGACCTAAACCTCGCAGCAGCCTCAGCTGAAGAAGTTGGACACAAAAGCCCATTGATATCCAAAGCACAAGAAATGTGAGTACTTGAGTAGTCTTTTCTCCTAGAAGCTATATTCCTTTGCTGTGAACAAAAAGAAGGCTTGTGAATGACAGTTTATGGAAACAACTTAGAAATTTCTGTTTAATTCTCGCTTATGAAGCAAAACACACACATCAAGCTGAAGATTTTGACTTTTTTTTTTGCAGTTACAAGAAGATGTGCGAGGAAGGGCATGAAACGAAGGACTTCTCTTGTGTTTTCAGACACTTTTACAATGGCAAAGATGAGGTCTGAGGCAATCTTAACAATGACCCTGCAAAATAACCGGTTTCTTTGTGCATTTAGAATTTAGATTGTTGGTTTTCATTGCTAAGAGCCTAAGAATAATAAAAGTCTTGGAAGGGCTGTGATGTTAATAAGCGATGTGAATTGTAATTAGTTTGAGACAACCTCTAGTTTGGGCAAAACTCTTGGCTTCGCCAATCAAGTGGTTGTTAGGTCAGCGAAGAATAAAGCATGAAGGATCCTGTAGAGGATTAAACAAAGCTCAAAGTCAAAGTTCTTAACTTTTCTTTTAACCGGATTAGGGAAAACAAAAGTAAAAAAACACACTATTCAAACAGTAGTCACCGTTGGTAATTCCATTTTTTAACAGTGTTACTCGCTACCCAATCAGTAAATATACCATTTTCCTTATCTGTAATCGTATTTAATTTGATATAATCATTCTTGGCTATTTTCCTAAGTCAATGAAGATTCACCTTGGTCCACCAATGACAGAACCAAACCATTTCTGCAGAATCTCCGGTAAAAATTACGGAAACAGTTTTTGTGTTAATATCTTCAATGTTTAATGACCAACACACCCTCAGTTTCTTCATCGCACACCTCTCTACATTTGAAATCCCCCAACTTTCTTCTCTCTGTTGCTCTCAAACTAGTTTCCTTCAACACTCAAAAAGGTACGTCTTTGATTCTTCCTCTTGTTTCGTCTCTATGTTTCGCTTCCTTACTTAAGGGTTCTTTCTGAAATTCGATTTCATGACTCATCATTTCTGTTTATGACAATTCGTTCCTCGTAACGTTACTTCAACCCTTTTTTGTTCTACTTCCTTCGCGCGAAAAATCGTTGCTTTGACTCGTATTCCTCTGTTTCATCATACGGTTGTCTGTCATGAAACCTTAAGTCTCCGAATTTATCTTCTTGTTTCTCTTTTAAAAACCCTAGCTTTTTGGGATTCTGTGCAGTGTGTAGTCGCATAGTTTGCACTAAAGTTACCTTTTTCGTGATCTTTGAAGTATCTATATTGTTCTTCTGTCTTGTCTCAGTGTATAAAGAAGCTACAGTGAGTTTGTTGTGATGGCGCGTGAGGAGAAGCAGACTCTTACTCCAAAGGAGATTATACATCAGAAGTTTGGTGATAAAGCAATTTACAGAATTGAGGAAGTTCATGTTTCTTCGAATGAATGCCTCTATCGTTGCCACTTGCAGCTACCGGAATTTTCTGTTGTATCAAATGTCTTCAAGAAGAAGAAAGATTCTGAACAATCCGCTGCTGAATTGGCTCTCGAGAAGGTACGCTTTTGGCACATCTCTCTGCTCTTATTGTTTAGTAGATTTGTTAACACTCTTTATGTTAAAAAATACAATTACTATTCATGTTGCAGTTAGGAATTCAGTCTCAGGATGATGATGATGATGATATAACTGTGGATGAAGCTTGGAATGATATCGTTGAACGCATAAGTATATATTTTCTGATGAGGTTAGTAGGTCATAAGCAATTTCGGATTTTCATATGTTTTTAATTATGAGTTCATCACTGGACAAAAGGTCTAGAAGTTAATTTGTTGGTTTTCTTTATTGGCTATAACGTTTAAGTTGTTACCATTGCAGTTTCTTTCAGCTGATCATCCTCTAGGAGGTCACCTTAGGGCGGCATTGAAAAGGGATGGCGAACGTTGCGGATCACTTCCTGTTTCTGTCATTGCGACATTTGATGCAAAGATTAACAGTCGCTGTAAAGTGATTGATCCTTCTGTGGACTCAGATCCTATCTTGCTCATGTCCTATGTCATGAAGGCTGCAGCAAAGTTTCCGGACTACATTGTCGTGTCTCCGCATGTAGATTCACTACGAAGGAAAAAGCCATACCCTCCAGCAATTGTAAAAGCTCTGGCTGCTCATGTGAAAAGCATAAAAGTTGAGGCTGTGCATATACAATGTACTGTTGGCGGTGAAGAAGTTGTTAAGCCAGTCACTCTTGATATTTCATCAGGTCGGTATTACTTGGATATTATTGCTGAAAAGCTTGGGTTGAAGGATGGCAGCCAAGTGATGATATCAAGGTGATTTAATTGTCTTTTTGTTGTCAATATATAAATGGAGATGTATCAGTTTTAATCTGATTAAGACTATTTTTGGATTTTTCAACAGGACTATTGGCAAAACTTCCTCTGGCTATGAGTGTAGAGTATACGCTGCCATGCCTAAGTTGAAGTCTTTCGACAATTCATGGAAAGCCCGTGAAAAACGTCCAATTAATGAATCATCACATCTTGAAAAGTCTCGGAATGCAAAAGCAAGTTTTGTTTGTGGTCTAGATATTCACGGTGATGCGATCGTGGCATCTGTTGGTTACCCATGGAGGTCCCATGATCTTGAACATGATGCTGTAACCTTAAAGTCGTTTTACAGGTCTCTTACTCCTACCAACTTTTGCTCCGTTTTATGTTTTGTTTTTCCTTTGTATAGCTTTTGGTCTTCTGCTGAAGCACTGCGTATCTTACCATGCTTTTGGCTTCTGTAGGATATGTTGCGGTATGTCTCCTAATGGAATCTATAAATTATCCCGAGAAGCAATAATTGCTGCGCAGATGCCTTTTTCATTCACTACAAAGTCTACTTGGAGAGGTCCATTCCCCAGGGAGATTCTCTGCATGTTCTGCCGTCAGCAACAACTAGCAGAACCCATTTTTACTTTATCTACTGCTCCTGTGAAACCAATGTCTTGCATATTAAGATCCTACCAGAAGTTGAAAGACTCAGAATCTGATGATAGCGAATATCAATATGTGAGCAAGGGAAAAGAGGAGATACCAGAATCAGGGACTGGATATAGATGTGAAGTGAAAATTCTCTCAAAGTCCCAGGATTTGGTTTTAGATTGCTCGTCGAAAAAGTTCTATGAGAAGGAAAACCATGCTATTCAAAATGCTTCATTGGATGCACTCTCATGGTTAAGTAGTCTTTTCGACGAGGGGGATGTGGACCCACTGCAAACATGTTATACAAGTGAACACCTGGATATGGTATTTCAACAGAGGACCTTGATGAAAGAGGCTGTTCCAAGGGGACATTTCCGAAATAGAGACGAAAGGAATGAATATGAGGACCAAATTCGTATTGAATCTATAACAAAGGGTTCCTTGGTTAGCATATGCTATTCCGTGTATTTGGATGTAGATGCTGATTTTTCGAGTGATGGTAAAGCTAAAAAAGAACTCATCGAAAGCAATGAAGAGATAGAGTTCGAGGTGGGGAATGGTTCTATGAATCCACATCTTGAATCAGTTGTTACTCAGCTGGCTGTGGGCCAATATGCTCGTTTTTTAAGTGATGCGCCTGCTGAAGACTTGTTTGTCACTACTGCCACTGGAACCCAGAGAGATCGTTCACTTTTATCAGGTATTGCTTCTAATGTGTATAGGAAATTCTTAACATTTTTGGTTAGAAAAGGAAAAACTTTATCAAATGTTGACATTTGTTTTATGACTGTTGAATCTAGGATTGAATTTCTTTGTTGCAAACTCTTCTGTTGCAATTGGTCCTATGGGTTTAATGAGTTCTGTACTATTTTGGTAAAGGTAGCATCAATCTTAAAAGTTCTGTGTTGTTTCTGTGCTTTTTCAAAGCTTTCTTGCTTTGAAAAGCGCATGAACAAGTAATAAGCATACCTGTGACTAAGATAAGAGATTTTCAGCCAAGCTACGGTAGTTCTGATGATGAGTTGCTTTGGTTTTAATGCACAGATATCGCAGGTTTTGAATACTGTGTACGTTTGTTGGGAGTGAAAGGGCCAACAGAAAAACGAATTGAGGCGGATTTTTTCAAACCGTCACTTTCAAAACAGCGTCTTGAATATGTAGTGAAACATATAAAAGAATCGTCAGCTTCTACTCTGGTAGGCTCTTCGTGTTTCTTAATTAATCATACTGTCTTTCTGCTTATTGTGAGTTCGAGTTCTTTTTACGACTTTTTAATTAATATTTCAGTCTCTATAATTGTTGCAGGTTGACTTTGGATGTGGATCTGGAAGTTTACTAGCCTCTTTACTTGACTATCCAACTTCACTTCAAACCATTGCTGGCGTTGACATCTTACAGAAGGGTCTTACCCGTGCTGCTAAGGTATGTGAAATCTGACACCACGGTGTTTTATCCCACTCTTAGACTTAACCTGATGAGAGTAATGCATCTTAGAACTTGATATATGTTTGATCAAAACTGCATTTATACTAATCATGGGTCGTGTAACATGTTACTCCTACATGGTTTTATTTTATGTCATTGGAAAGAGATGGTACATTGAAGATTCTTGATTTGCATAAATATTTTCGCATGTTTTATTTCAGAGGCTACATTCAAAGTTAAACAAGGGAGCTTGCAACCTCAAATCTATTATACTCTATGAGGGCTCCATCCTCAAGTTTGATTCCAGGCTACATGACATTGACATCAGCACTTGCTTAGAGGTTCCATTCTATTTTCTTGCTTCATTTCTTCATCAGCAGCTTCTCTAATATTCAAGATTTTGTATAAGCTCATCAAGAAATCTGTCTTTTTGTCGGTTTTACTTAAGATATAATCCTTTTGGAATCTGTAGGTCATTGAACACATGGAGGAAGATCAAGCCTGTCAATTCGGGAAAACAGTTCTAAGCTTGTTTCGCCCGAAACTTCTCATTGTCTCCACACCAAACATCGAGTACAACAAAATTTTGACAAGTCTGCTCCTCCAAACCACCTAAAAAACAGATCCATGTCACAGCTACCTAAATTCAGGAACCAAGACCACAAGTTCGAATGGACAAGGAAACAGTTTAAACAGTGGGCATCTAAACTCGCTAAACGCCATAACTACAGCGTCTACTTTAGCGGTGTTGGGGAGTCTGGTAAAGCAGATCCCGGGTTTGCTTCTCAGATTGCTGTTTTCAGACGGAAATCTTTGTCCAACGGTGTGGAGAAGGTGTCAGAAGGCTCGATGCAGCCTTATAAAGTCATATGGGAATGGACAAGAGGAAGTGGAGACAAAAAGACTAATCTTTCATAAGAGTATCAATTAGAATAGACCAGTGTCTTTTTTCTTTTTGAGTTAGTAGGTTTTATCACTTGTCCTAGTTCTGTTTAAAATCTCCATGTTTCTTTGCTTAATCACACATTCACACTCTTGTTTTTGGTAATATCTTAGTGTTATGCATTCATTACATAACATGGTTTTCTTCAAATTTAGGCTACAAAGCACAAGAAATGTGATAGTACTAAACATGAAACATATAATAACTTCACACATAAATGGTACGTATTTATTTTCTTCTAGAAAAGAGAAAGGTGGATAGGGAATAAAATAAAAAGTTAGGAAAAAGAAACGATTCTATAACATGTAATGACCAAAACACCCTCATTCCTCCCTCTAAAACCCATTCTCTCTCTTTTTCTCTGTTGCTCTCTCCTCAGTTCTTCTTCTTTCATGACATTCCGCTGAACTATTTAGGTTCGTTGTTGATTCTTCTTGCTTTATGTTTGTGTGTATCGTTTTTCAACTTCTGGGCTCTTTCTGAAATTCAATTTCATTGATCCATCTTCTCTGTTCACGAGGATTCGCTTGTGTTAATGTTACACTCAAAACCCTTTTTTGTTGTTTTGTGTTTTTTTTATCAGTAGTTCCTTGAAATGAAAAAGCTTTGCTTTGGCTCATTTTCTTGTGTTTCGTCTCTCTGTTTTTCCCATCGCATGTGCATAAAACCTACCACAGTAATCGATTCTAGTTTTGTAATTTGGGTTTTGCCATTTTTGACTTAGCAAGACTGAGACTTTACTGGTATTTCTCTGATCTGATAATGCAGACAAGTCGTTAGAATTAGAACATTGAGAATGTGGGAAGTCAAATAGATGTTGGTTCAATTTTGAACTTTTTGTTTACTTATTAATGTTTTCTATGGCTCTGATTTGAATTTTCAAGTTTGAGACTTTCTTCTTCTTCTCTTATAAACCCTAATTTCAGGGGTCTGCACATTTTGCATAAAAGTTTCCATCTTTCCTGATCTTTTGCAATACTTTTTGTTTGTCTCAGTGTATCAAAGAAGCTACATTGTGTTTGTGATGGCGGGTGGTGGGAAGCATACACCTACTCCAAAGGCGATAATACATCAGAAGTTTGGTGCTAAAGCAAGCTATAGAGTTGAGGAAGTTCATGACTCTTCTCAGAGTGGTTGTCCAGGTTTAGCAATTCCTCAAAAAGGTCCATGTCTCTATCGCTGCCACTTGCAGCTACCAGACTTTTCTGTTGTATCAAATGTCTTCAAGAAGAAGAAGGATTCCGAACAATCTGCTGCTGAATTGGCTCTTGAGAAGGTATGCTTTGTTGTGTATATATATATATCTCTTCTATAATGTGGTATCTCTAATGTTAACGGAGACAAGACTATTCATGTTGCAGCTAGGCATTCGTCCTCAGAATGATGATCTTACTGTGGATGAAGCTTGGGATGAAATTGTTGGACGCATTAAGTATATATTTTCTGATGAGGTTAGTAGATCAAAAGAATTTTCTGGTTTCCATATTTTTGTAAATATGACGAAATCTTCGTTATTTATATTATCGGTTATATTGCTGGACTAAAAGGTATCTGGGATTTCTAGATATAAGATACTTTGAAGAAAATAATAACTTATGGAGTGTTACTGACATTAATGTTTTTATGTTGTTGTGATTGCAGTTTCTTTCAGCTGAGCAGCCTCTAGGAGCTCACCTTAGAGCGGCATTGCGAAGAGATGGTGAACGTTGTGGATCAGTTCCTGTTTCTGTCATTGCTACATTTGATGCAAAGATTAACAGTCGTTGTAAAATTATCGATCCTTCTGTGGAATCAGATCCATTCTTGGCCATTTCCTATGTCATGAAGGCTGCTGCAAAGTTGCCAGACTACATTGTTGCATCTCCGCATGTAGCTTCACTCCGAAGGAAAAATGCATACCCTTCAGAAATTGTAGAAGCACTAGCTACTCATGTATCTATTTCCCTACATAGCAGAGAAGTCGCGGCTGTATATATACCATGTATCGATGAGGAGGTTGTTGAGCTAGATACTCTTTACACTTCATCAGACCGGCATTACTTGGATAGTATTGCTGAAAGGCTCGGATTGAAAGATGGCAGCCAAGTGATGATGTCCAGGTGATTATATTGTCTTTTTTTCTATTAGTTAAGTGGGGCATTCTTGATGTTAATCTGGTTTAAAAGTGTTTTTGCTTTTCAACAGGGCTTTTGGCAAAGCATCCTGTGGTTCTGAGTGTAGATTGTACTTTGATATTCCGAAGAAGTCCTCTGATAATTCATCAGAAGCCTCTGGAAGTTCAAATGAAGACTCATCTCATATTAAAAAATCTCGGAATGCACGAGCAAGTTACATTTGTGGTCAAGATATTCACGGGGATGCAATCTTGGCATCTGTTGGTTACCGATGGAAGTCCGACGATCTTGACTCTGCTGATGTAACTGTAAATTCATTTTACAGGTCCTTTCTCTCCTACCAAATTTTGCTCAGTTCTATGTCTGATTTTTTTCCTTTCCATATCTTCTTTTAGAATAAAGATTTTGGGAATATTGCATTGGTTACGTCTACTAACTCTGAAGTAATGCATTTAATGTTTGTCTTTGTCTTCCGATGAAGCACTGCATATCTTATTCTTAGCATGCACTGATGCATGACATTGGCTTTGTGGCTTCTGCAGAATATGTTGCGGTATGTCACCCAATGGAATCTACAAAATTTCCCGACAAGCAGTAATTGCTGCACAGTTGCCTTTTTCATTCACTACAAAATCTAATTGGAGAGGTCCACTCCCCAGGAGATTCTCTGCCTGTTCTGCCACCAGCACCGACTAGCAGAACCCATCCTTTCTTCATCCACTGCTCCTGTGAAATCGTTGTCTGACATATTCAGATCTCACAAGAAGTTGAAGGTCTCAGGAGTTGATGATGCCAATGAGAATTTGAGTAGGGAAAAAGAAGATACACCAGGACTAGGGCATGGGTTTAGATGTGAAGTGAAAATCTTTACAAAGTCTCAGGATTTGGTTTTAGAATGTTCACCGAGAAAATTCTATGAGAAGGAAAATGATGCCATTCAAAATGCTTCATTGAGAGCCCTCTTATGGTTTAGTAAGTTTTTCGCTGACCTGGATGTGGATGGAGAGCAGCCATGTGATACAGATGACGACCAGGATATTAAATCTCCAAGTCCTAATGTTTTTGCGGCCCCACCGATTTCCCAAAATGAACACAGTTCTGAATCAAAAACCACGAATGTGCTATCGGCAGATACGCGTGTTCAATCTATAACAAACGGTTCCGTGGTTAGCATATGCTATTCTTTGTCTTTGGCAGTGGATTCTGAAGATTCGAGTGATGGTGAATCTTCAAGAGAAGACATTGAAAGCAATGAAGATATGGAGTCTGAGGTGGATGCTGAATATTCGGCTAATTGTGAACCCTCAATAGATCTCATTGAAAGCAATGAAGAGATAGAGTTTGAGGTAGGGACTGGATCCATGAATCCACATATTGAATCAGCTGTTACTCAGATGACTGTGGGTGAATATTCTTCTTTTAGTATTACACCCCCTGATGCTGCTGAAGCTTTGATTTTGGCTGTTGCTTCTGATACTGTGAGAATCCGCTCGCTCCTATCAGGTAATGCTTATAATGTTTACATTTGTTGCAGGTTATAGGATAGTTTCTTAAAACGATTTTCTGGTTGGAAGAAAAAAAAGGTGTTTATCATATGTTGACATTTGTACTGCCTTCACCAGTGAACTTAGGTCTAGTCTTACTAATACGAAAAAGAGGCAACGTTATGTAAGAACCTCACGTAAAGTCTTCTGGTGAATTTAGGATTGATTTAATGTCAAAGCAATTTATTTTTTCTATTCTTTCTGTTGCTCAGTATTGTATTATTTGATGAAGGTAACATCATTAGTAACAATTCACCTTTGCTGTGTCAGCTCTAGTTAGATGAATCACAGCCAAAATTATCAAAGCTTTCATGGCTGTAGGCAGAGGATGAACAAAAATTAGACCTATATCTATGACTAAGTTCAGAGATTCCATGAACATTTCTATGTGATAGTGATGAATTCTTCTGCTTTTTGTGCACAGAACGTCCAAGTTTAAATTACAGTATACTTTTGTTGGGAGTGAAAGGGCCATCAGAAGAACGAATGGAGGCGGCTTTTTTCAAACCTCCACTTTCTAAACAGCGTGTTGAATATGCACTGAAACATATAAGAGAATCATCCGCTTCTACTTTGGTAAGCTCTGTATATCTTAATGTCTTCCTGCTTATTGGGATTCTGAATTCAACACTTTTTAAAAATTCTTTATATTGTTTCAGTCTCTTTTTGTCCTAATTGGTAAATCTTTGACAAGCGTAAGATGGCACCTCTATTCTTCACAGGTTGACTTTGGATGCGGATCTGGAAGTTTATTAGACTCTCTACTTGACTATCCAACTTCACTTCAAACCATCATCGGTGTTGACATTTCGCCGAAGGGTCTTGCCCGTGCTGCTAAGGTATGCAAAAATCACACACCACTGTTCTTTATTCCCGCTCGTAGACTTAACTTGATGAGACTAATGCATCTAAAAACTTGCTGTGTTTTATGAAGACTGCATTTGCACCTGTCATGAATCTCTGTAAATATTTTCAAAAAGAAATGGTTGGTTTGATTTACATATGTTTTTGTTTATATTGTGTTTCAATCTCAGATGCTACATTTAAAACTGAACAAGGAAGCTTGCAACGTCAAATCTGCTACACTTTATGATGGTTCCATCCTTGAGTTTGACTCCAGGCTGCATGACGTTGACATCGGCACTTGCTTAGAGGTCATCCTCTCATCTGCTATCTAGTCCTTCAAATTTTGTGCATGTTCATCAAAAGCTCTCTGGTTTCGGCGTAACATATAATCTGTTCCGAATCTGTAGGTTATTGAACACATGGAAGAAGACCAAGCCTGTGAATTTGGGGAAAAAGTTCTTAGCTTGTTCCACCCCAAGCTCCTGATTGTCTCAACACCAAACTACGAGTTCAACACAATTCTCCAGCGGTCTACACCAGATACCCAAGAAGAAAACAACTCCGAGCCACAGCTTCCGAAATTCAGGAACCATGACCACAAATTCGAATGGACAAGAGAACAGTTTAACAACTGGGCATCTAATCTCGCCAAACGCCATAACTACAGTGTCGAGTTTAGCGGTGTTGGTGGGTCTGGTGAAGTAGAACCTGGGTTTGCTTCTCAGATAGCTGTTTTTAGACGTGAAGCTTCATCTGTTGAGAAAGTTGCAGAAGGCTCAATGCAGCCTTATAAAGTCATATGGGAATGGAAGAAAGGAGATGAAGAAAAAAAGACTGATCTTGGATTAGAGTAGTATCGACCAGAGACTACATATATATTGCAAGCAATGTGATGATGTGTTCATCTATAAACTCAAAGCTTGTTTTGTTCTTTTGCCTTCAGCTTTTGCAGAGTAATCGTAAAAATCGAACCTTTATGTTTAAACATTTTTTGTGTCTAGGCGATTAATGGAAAATACCCTTTTTGCCCCTGTGTTTAAGTTTGTTTATTTATAAGTCCTTGTAATTTTTTTATCACTGTCTCACTTCTTCTTCGCTGATTCGTTTCAAAGCAAAAAGCATTTGGGTTCTTGATCTTGACGATCTCTGAGGAACACGAGAATTTGAAATCTGGGAAAATCTGTCTCGAATTTTCTCTCAGGAAATTGGCAGAGAGAATCGCCAAAAAATGTGTCCCTGCGAAGAGCGTCGTGCTCCACCTGGGGTTTACTATACTCCACCGCCGGCGAGAACAAGTTATGTGGCGGCGATGCCGTTGTCGGAGAGGAGAAGACCACCGTTTTCTTGTTCTTCGTCGTCGGAGAATCGTGATCCGTTTCACATTGTTCACAAGGTTCCTTCTGGTGATTCTCCTTACGTCAGAGCCAAACATGCGCAGGTATAATGAACTTTCCCGGGAAAACAAGAAAGAGAAAATTTCTTTTGCCCTAATTTAGGGTTTTTTAATTCTTCTCCTCTTTCAATTCCTTCTCGTAAAAGCTTATCAATATTATCGCTGAAACCAATCTTTTGAAGTCAAATTTTGAGTAATCTTCTTATATCTGTCTATATATGTATGTGATTGTGTTTTCTAACATATGTATATTATTATGTGGAAGAACAGTTGATAGATAAAGATCCGAATAGAGCTATATCATTGTTTTGGACTGCAATAAACGCTGGAGATCGAGTTGATAGTGCTTTGAAGGACATGGTAGTTGTAATGAAACAGTTAGACCGATCTGATGAAGGAATTGAAGCCTATCAGATCCTTCCGGTATCTCTGTTCTTTTGACTCTCAAGACTCCATTGATAACTTGCTACTCGAACTCTACAAAGTAATTGAAACCTCCATATTGTTATGCAAGTGTTATGGAGTTGTTGGATGTTTTTCTCTAGTGTTAAAACTTGGAAATGGGTTTTGGGTTTTTTGCAGAAGTCAGGGAGGATTGAAGAAGAAGCTGAGTTACTTGAGCACAAGCTGAAAACACTCGAACAAGGAATGGGATTTGGAGGTAGAGTCATTAGAGCTAAAAGGGTTCAAGGAAAACATGTTACAATGACTATTGAGCAAGAGAAAGCAAGGTGTGAAACTTTTGATCTATTCTCATGTTATCTTGATGAGTGTTTTTCTCTGGAACTGACGTGTTTCCATTGTGGTTTGAACATTTTAGGGTATTAGGGAACTTGGGCTGGGTTCATTTACAGTTACATAACTATGGAATTGCAGAGCAGCATTACAGGTTTGGTTTTGTTACCACTATCCCAAATATGGATATTGATTACTGTTTGATCATGTGAGTTTTGCTTATATGCAATTATCCATGGAACAGGAGAGCTCTGGGTTTGGAGCGAGACAAAAACAAACAGTGTAACCTTGCAATCTGCTTGATGCGTATGGGTCGAATTCCTGAAGCTAAATCTCTTCTTGATGATGTAAGAGATTCTCCTGCAGAGAGTGAATGCGGAGATGAACCATTTGCAAAGTCTTATGACCGAGCCATTGAGATGTTAGCAGAAATAGAATCGAAAAATCCAGAAGCTGATCTTTCGGATAAGTTCTACGCGGGATGTTCATTTGCAAATGGGATGAAGGAAAACATAGCTCCTGGAAACGCAAACAAGAACTACTCACATGTTTCTTCTTCTCCAGCATCTGTTGGACCGAACTCTGCAGGTCTATATACACAACCACGCAGATGCAGAGCAGGGATGTATGAGGAAGACACCAGAGGTGCAGCTCGAAAGCTACTGTTTGAGAAACCGAAACATTTTGCTTCTGAACAGATTAAGATCTTAAAGAGAGGAGAAGAAGAACCCAAGAAGCGAAAGAAACTGGACCCGAACATGATTCAATATCTCCATGAATTCATCAAAGATACAGCAGATGGTTCGAATAAATGAATCTAAGAAAAGCTGGGCAGATATCGCAGAAGAGGAAGAAGAAGAAGAAAGATTGCAGGCAGAGACATAGGATCTCATTGTACCAGTTATCAAGTTTTTGAATCATCGAATTTGTATAGGCTTTTTGACATTGAAATATTTTCATAGACAAAACAAAGAAGCATAGGCAAATGGATTACACTCCAGAACAAATCTTAGTTTTTGGAAAGAAACTCAATAACAAAACACACAAAGCACAAAAAGAGAGAATCCAATTCAAAAGAAGGAGATAAAAGAAATGAGTGCGACGAACTTACAGCTTGTGTAAAAGCCTTACAAAAGTAGTAATGAATCATTTTTTCTTTAGGCCTCTTCTTCTTCTTCGTCCTCCTCATACTCCTCTTCACCGACTGTAGCATCTTGATATTGCTGATACTCTGCAACAAGATCATTCATGTTACTCTCTGCTTCAGTGAATTCCATCTCGTCCATTCCTTCTCCTGTGTACCAATGAAGGAAAGCCTTTCTCCTGAACATGGCATGTGAACTGTTCACTCACACGCCTGAACATTTCCTGGATTGAAGTTGAGTTTCCAATGAAAGTTGATGCCATTTTCAAACCCGTGGGAGCTATATCACAGACGCTTGATTTCACGTTGTTTGGAATCCATTCAACAAAGTATGAGGAGTTTTTGTTCTGGACGTTCATCATCTGTTCATCAACCTCTTTAGTACTCATCTTTCCACGGAACACAGCAGAAGCTGTCAAGTAACGACCATGACGGGGATCAGCTGCACACATCATGTTTTTGGCATCCCACATCTGTTGAGTTAGCTCAGGGACACTCAAGGCACTGTATTGTTGAGATCCTCTTGATGTCAGAGGTGCAAAACCAACCATGAAGAAGTGGAGTCGTGGGAAAGGAATAAGGTTCACAGCAAGTTTTCTAAGGTCGGAGTTTAGTTGACCAGGGAACCGAAGACAGCATGTAACACCACTCATTGTAGCTGAGATAAGGTGGTTAAGGTCACCAACTAAGGTACACCACCACAAAAGAAAGAAGAACAATGTCAGAGTTTTCAAAACTACAATCACATGAATATTAATGAAATGGTTTGTAAAACTCACATGTAGGATTAGCAAGCTTCAAGGTACGGAAACAGATATCGTAAAGAGCTTCGTTATCCAAAACCATACATTCATCAGCATTCTCAACAAGCTGGTGAACAGAAAGTGTAGCATTGTATGGCTCAACCACAGTATCAGAAACCTTAGGAGATGGGAAAACCGAAAAGGTCATCATCATACGATCTGGATATTCCTCTCTTATCTTAGAAATAAGAAGCGTTCCCATGCCAGAACCAGTTCCTCCTCCCAAAGAATGACATACTTGAAAACCTGTTCCACAAATGAATCATCCATCAGAAAATGAAATCAACAACATCATACGCTAAACAAAGCATCATACGCAGGTGATAAACACAAACGCATCTACGAAGGAGTTTCTAATAGCAGATCTAGATTCGAATGATTACGCGAACAGATCAATATACAAACGAGATTCAGAAAACGAAAACCTAGAAAATGAAAGCGTATCTCACTCACCTTGAAGACAATCACAGTTCTCAGCTTCCTTCCTCACAACATCAAGCACCGAATCAATCAACTCTGCTCCCTCGGTGTAATGACCTTTCGCCCAGTTATTCCCAGCACCAGACTGCCCAAACACAAAGTTATCCGGCCGGAAAATCTGACCAAACGGCCCGGATCTGAGAGAATCCATAGTTCCAGGCTCCAGATCCATAAGAACAGCGCGAGGAACGTATTTGCCTCCACTAGCTTCGTTAAAATAGACATTGATCCTTTCAAGCTGTAGATCTGTTTCGCCACATGACTGACCGGTGTGATCGATACCATGCTCGCCGCAAATAACTTCCCAGAACTTAGCTCCGATCTGGTTTCCACACTGACCTCCTTGAATATGAAGGATTTCTCTCATTTTCACCAGATGTTTTTTTTTTTGTTCTTTCTCGGGAATCGCTTAGTCTATTTTCTCGAGAAAATGATGAGAAAATTTGGCGACTCCCTCTGTTTATTGTTTTTTTGATTGAGGGGTATAAAAACAAAAGAGTAGTAATCGGCTATATATAGTTTACGTCCTTTTTTCTCATGTTTCTAATATAATTTTCATTTTAGTCCTTGAATTATGCTTGATATTTGGTATTATCCTTATAGTTTTTCGATTTGGTTTCCTTTATGTGCTGTTATACAGCGAATCAAAAATAAATATCTTTCCTTAGATATTTTTGTTAAATTAATATAAAATTCCACAAAATCACTCGTGAAAAGATATAAAGGCAAATTGTTTTCTACGCTTTTTTTATATTTTTGATTAGATCCTTTTTTTCTTCGGATATTGAAATTAAAGACCAAAAGATTCGAATTTGCGTCATTAGTGGATTTTCCTTTGCTGTTTTCAACTAATTTAGTAAGTTGATTAATGTTTTTACACCAATAATAGGCAGTTTTACTTATTTAGCAAATCACCTTATTAATAAGATTAGCTGACAATAGAAATTTGAAGTAAATGGTTTACAGGCAAATGACAATCCGTAAATATGACAATTTTAGAATAGTTAATCTGTTGAATATATTTCAAGTGAAAAAAAATATGTGTTTTACATCTAAGTTTATAATATGAATCAACGGTTCAAATTTTTATCTATCAGAAAGTGTTTTTAACATCTAACTATAGACACAATTTGTTGATAGGTTTAACAATAGAAGAGATTGTTCAAATTATCTTTAGACTTAAAATAGCTATTACCGGTTAACCATGTTTAGTTTACAAATAATATGGATGCATATTTCGGTTTCCAGTTTAGTATAGTTCCATGTAATTTGTTTCCTTAGCAAAAAAACTAAATTCTATTTCGGTTCGGTTTGAAATTTTATGGACCGGTTTAATCAAATTCAATTTTGCTTCGGTTGGAAAAATCAATGAATAAGATTTTGAAGCTACTGTTGTAGTCATTAAAGATTGCGGAAATCAAGCTGAAAAAATAAATTAGTTTTTGTAAAGTTTAAATCCATTTAAGTCTCATCTAAATTACAGAATTTTTTATTCGAATTTAAATTATTGGTTCCGGTTTCAAATGTTAATGTACAAATAAAAATAGATTATTGATATTTTTTTGTTCGATCAAATTTTGGTTTTTTTTTTTTTTGGTGAATAATTTTGGTTTTTTTTTTTTGGAGAAGTAGAAAGTGTAAAATCTTCAAATTTGCAAGTACAGTTGTACATGTAACATATTTAACAAAAATGGAAATAAATAACAAATTTTTTTAACAAAAAGAACAAAAAAAGAAGAAGTAAATAATTGGTTAAGGCACGCGTCGTCCTGTTATGTCTTTTTAGCGGTTTCTTCATCATATCTCTCTCTCTCTCAAACCTTCACTTTCTGCGCAAAGAAGGAAGAGCTTTCTTCTCCATTTATTACATTTTCTCTCCAAATGTCTAATTAATGGTTTTGATCTTCCAACCAGATCTTCTTCTCTATCTCTTCGACAAACCCTTTTTCCTGGGTTCTTCGGAGAGGTGATTTATCAAAATCAAAAAAACAAAAAGGTCTTTCCTTTTTTTTTCTTTCATCGCCATGCCTTTACCTTGGAAGAAATCGAAATCTAGTCGGATCTCTAGATTCGTATCAGACCTTCAACAATCTCCAAAACATGGTGGATCTCTCGTTGTTGAAACTGGATTCCCAACTTCTTTAATCGATCTCTTTGTTAAGAATCGCGATCGTCTCAAGAAACAATCTTCAAAACGTAACAACAAGAACAACAAAGCCCAGACGACGGTACAGACTCAAACCGCTCCGACAAAACGGCGTGTTTTGTCTCCGCCTCCTCCTCCTCTGTCTTTGCAGCGTCGTATGTCTCTTCCTTCGAAGCTTGATCCAGCTTTGGTTACAGAGGATCCTCCTTTGGTGAGTAAGATCGAGGAATGTTTTGTTCCGGAGAATAGACATTACGGTGAAGACGACGGTGGAAACGGTGGTAATCGCGTCGGAGGAGGAGGAGGGTGTGTTTTAATGGTGGTGGTGTTTAAGGTTTTCATGGTGGCGGTGCTCGCGTTGAGCACGAAGAAGCTCGCCGTGGGGATCACGCTCTCTGCTTTTTCCCTTCTCTTCCTCGAGCTCGCGGTGGCGCGTGTCTTCACGTACCTGAATCTCTGTCCCGACGCGCAGATTCGGATAGATTCGTTGATCGATAAACTCATAGGGAAGCGACATAAAGAGAAGCTAGAAGAAGAAGAAGAATCGACATCGACGCATGACAGAAGAAACAATGTATCGTCTGAAATCATCGAAGAACCTAGAGAGGAAATTAAAGTCGTTCCTCAATCGGATTCGTCGACATTGGAGAAGGCTAAACCTGTGGTGGAGGAGAAGAAGGACGTGCAAACGATAAGAGATGTTGTGTTTAAGACTGAGAAAAGCAAAAGCGCGAAGCTTAAATCAAAGATTGTGAAGAAGATTGTGCCAAAGAAGTTAAGGAGTTATAAGAAGAAGAAGAAGATGAAGATGAAAGAAAAAGAAGAAGAAGAAGCTGAAGTTGAAACTGAAGAAGAAGGGTCTGTGACAGAAGTATCAAGCTTGTTTTCAGATGAAAGAATCGGAAGCGAAATCTCTGAGAGAGATGATTTAAGTTCGAATCCGCCATTGTTAGAGAGTTGTACAGAGATTGAAGAAGAAGAAGAAGAAGAAATTGGATCAAAAGGGGATCTAACGAAAGCGATGGTTCTGATAGTGATTGTTCTTGTTGGATTGTTAAGTGGGAAAGTTTTTGCTATTGGTCTGACACTCTCTTGGTGTCTGATTCTCAGAGTTTTCTGCTGCAAATCTCAAACCAGTCTCTGAAACAGAGGAAAAATAAAAGATTCAGACTTTGGGTTCTTTTTTGGTTGTCTGTGTCTGTGGCAGTGGTGGGCCTTAGGAATCGCCGTTAGTTGTTGACGGTGACGGTGTTGACGGTAGAGAGACGGTGGAGGAAGTGTTGTTGGGTGGTTGGCAGTTCGAAGCTATAACAATTGGTTTGCTTATGAAACTGTAAATTTTTTGTTTTTAACAAAGTTATTATATGATGGTCAAAGAGTCAAAAGATGTTGTGTTAAAAAAAAAAGGGTTTGTTTGGGATATAGTACGTTTTGGAAACTTAATTATAAATGTAGTACGGTTACTATTTATAATCAGTAAAAGTAGTGCGTTTCCACTGTTCCTCTAATAGACACTCTCATCTAATAAAGCAAAAAGAGGATTTGTGCAGTGACGAAAATGCCCTTTCGTCTCACTCCACCCATCTCTCTATCTTGCAACTCCATCTCTGTAATTCTCATCACTCTCTCCGTTCCATCTCTGCAACTTTCATCTCTCTCTCTTGTTCAAATCTCCAATCTCCAATCTTAAGACAAAACAAAGACCACCACCATTAATGGCTTTCTTCACCGATACGAACAAGACAGGAACACAAACACAAACCCAGCCTCCTCCTCCTCCGTCTCCTTCCGTCTCTTTTCGTTTCTTCTCGGTAATCCCTAAAATTTTCAATTAATCCCTCGATTTCTCCTCTTAATTTGAATCCGAAGCAACACAAAATCCATAACAAAGTCTGGAAAATTTGCATCTTTATTTATCGATTCCGTTACATCGGCTAATTGGAGGAAATCAGAGAATGGAGGAGGAAAAGCTAGAAATCGTCGGACCGTTGGAGAAGCCGTTGATGGGAAACATCGTACCAGAGGAGATCAACGGCTTGGATTCGCTTTCTCTCTCTCCCCTGGCTCTCATAGCTCTCTCTCTTTCTCTGATTTCATTTCACCGCCGAGGTCTCGCCGTGTTACCAGCGAATTTATTTGGCCGGATCTGAAGAAAACTTTGAAAGCCATTTGTTTTCACTTCGACTCTGAAACTCGTCGTCTCCTCCGCTGTTACCGCCGCCGAAGGTAAATATTTGGGGATTTATTTTAGTTTGAGCGATTGAATTTGGTAGAAATTAAGTTTCGATTCGATTAGCTCTGTTGATTGTGTTTGAATGTCTTTGGTGTGAAATTGAAATTTCAGATTTCTCAGCTCTTGAGAAATTAAATTGATCTTCTTTATATGCCTATGATTTTGAGTGATATGTTAAGATGATGATTTAGTCGTTGTTCTTTGGATTCATTTGTTCTATATGCATATGATTTTGAGTGATGTTTGGGGTGATGAGGTTTTGTTGTGTGTGATGAAATTGATTTGGGTCTGTTGATGAGTCTTAAAAGAACTCTTTTGTTTTGTTGTTATTAACTACTAGGTTCAGCTTTGGCAAGTAATCTGCAAAGAAGAAGAGGAAGAATCAGACCGAAGGATTAGGCAACGACATTGGGGCATCTTAATCATTCGATCTTATTCACATTAATATTAATTGCTAACCAAACTTTACACATCTACACAAATATGGACCGTATAATCAGAATTAGAGTTCTCCATAATTTTTTGAAATTTCTTTGTCGTAGACCTTTGCTTACGGAGAATTATCCCTTCCTCATTCAATTTCCAATTCCAGAATTTTATATGCCTAACTGGTTTTGCATTTGGAAACACATTTCTAAAGCATGGACACTTATGCTGCTTTTGTTGAAGGTGAAAACGAGTTCTAGTTGTTTGTTTAAAGACTTATATATAAGTTGTGTAATATTTATGTAGTCTAAATTGGTAGGATATTATGTGTGTTGTGTACTGGTTCTGGTATTTTGCAACGAACTTATAATTTATTAACATATTTAGTTATCCACAAAAATGTTATATATCAATTATGATTTCCATAAGTTTACCAAAATCGCAGTCTGTACATATAGTATGCTGTACAGATTAGCTGTACGAAATGCTATCTGTACAGCCACCATGCTGTACGGAATGCTATCTGTACAGCATAACGCTAACCGAATGCTATCTGTACAGCAACCAGATTAGCTGTACGAAATGCTATCTGTACAGCCACCATGCTGTACGGAATGCTATCTGTACAGCATAACGCTAACCGAATGCTATCTGTACAGCCACCATGCTGTACGGAATGCTATCTGTACAGCATAACGCTAACCGAATGCTATCTGTACAGAATGCTGGTACGTTACGCTTATCACTTTAACCTAACCCTAACCGAAACCCTCATAAATAAACTAAACAAATATATAGGAAATCCAACACTACCAATTTAAAAAACAATATTGTTTTCTGTGTCTAAGTGATGTACAGATAACCTCTTGCTGGCATCTGTACAGCATAAGATATGTACAGAATGCTATCTGTACAGCATGAACAGAATACTATCTGTACAGAAACCTGGCTGTACGAAATGGTATCTGTACATCACAAGATATGAAATCTGAATTGGTAGGATATTATGTGTGTTGTGTACTGGTTCTTTAAAATCTTCCAATCACAATGAATGAAATCAGAACTAGAAAAGGCACACAAAACAGTAACTTCCTTTCTTCAAGAACACACTCGATAAGTCGTCATCTTTATCTTCTGCGTATCCAGTTGATCTAGCTACTTCTATAAAGGACACTTCCGAGAATGAAATAATCTAAAATCTAGAAACCTCTTTTCCAAGTTCATTTCTAGCATTAAAATCATTCTATACATGAAGATAAACATAAATCATCAATCAAACATCATGATCAATCATCAAATCACCCTAAATCTACCAAACCAACAATCCAAAAGTCAACTACTCACACAAACTCAAAACGCAAAAGTAAACCGTACAAAAGATAGATAATGAAGACATGATTAAGATTTTATAAAAAGATTTAACAAAACATAAGTAACAAAGGTTTAGATGATGAAATAAGTTTACAAAACATCAAGAACAAAACAAGAACAAGAGAGAGAGAGTTTAGAGAGTTGTAAAAGTCTAGATTCATGTTATTTTACACTAAAATGAGTATTTATAGTGGTGGAGTTCGCACTAGGTGAGGTGAAAAAGGAAAACTGTCGGTTGCAGCTCTGATCGGTTGTTCCGATCGGTTTGCAACCGATCGGAGGTCTTTAGTATGTTTTTTCGTGATTTGCCGCTCGGTTTCGTCGATCGGTTGTAAACCGATCGGATTGTAACTTTTGCTCCGCAACTCCGTTTCAGACAAACTCACCACCGTTGGAAAGCTAATTCAATTTCCTACAACTTTCATGAAGGGCTCCAAAGCTAAATAACAGGGGAGAGTCTTCATATGATGTGATCTTTCAAGAACTTCATTTGGAGCCATCATCTAGATCGAGTGTAGACCGATCTGTTTGTAACTTTTGATACGCTACTCCGTTTGATACGAAATCACCACCATTGGAAAGATGATTCAATTCCCCACAACTTTGATGAAGGGCTCGAAAGCTAAATCACAAGGTATAGGCTTCGTATGATGTGGTCTTTTTACTCCTTTTTGGCTCTGCTTCCTTCGCTTCAATCTCGTGCTCTCCTGCAACTCCAAGTGTCCTGAAATATATACACAAACCACAGAAGAATGTGCAATATACATTCGAGAACTCCTAAAGTACTATAAAACTCAATATATCACACAATGACACAAAAATACTTATTAATCGAAGAATATATACATGAAACACACAAATAACATGGGGCAAACCATGGTGAAATACATGTATATCATGTATCTTGCTAGAAAATTGATTGGGGACAAAAAGACTTCACTTTGTGGAGACACGAGCGCTTGCTCCACCAGAGATTCACATTGACATTGATGATCACTAGAAGAATGAGGACGAGCTCTTACAGTCTGCAGCCCAGCACTCCCCATGTGCTCCTTAACTATATTGACCAAAACAAACTATCCCTCCATCAAATACATCGTACAAATCAAACTACCCATCCGCTAAATGTACCGTACAGATCGACTATCCGTCCGCCAAATATACCGTACAGATCGACTATCCGTCCGCCAAATATACCGTACAGATCGACTATCCGTCCGCCAAATATACCGTACAGATCGACTATCCGTCCGCCAAATATACCGTACAGATCGACTATCCGTCCGCCAAATATACCGTACAGATCGACTATCCGTCCGCCAAATATACCGTACAGATCGACTATCCGTCCGCCAAATATACCGTACAGATCGACTATCCGTCCGCCAAATATACCGTACAGATCGACTATCAGTCCGCCAAATATATCGTACAGATCAAACTATCTGTCCGGCAAATATATCGTACAAATCAAATTGTCCACACATCGATCATTTTGGGTATTGAATATGCACAGCCATAAAATCTACAATTATCTTTTACCAATTCTCCCCACGTGCTCTTTAACTATATTGTACAAATCAAACTATCCGTACACCAAACATTTGTATATTTCAAACTATCTGTCCGCCAAAAAATTGTACATATCAAACTATCCGAATGCCAAAAACATTGTACAAATCAAACAATTTGACCACCAAAAATGGTGTAAAGATACCAACAGAGAATCTACAACCGATTTTCAGATTAAAGAAGATCCTTTCATTTGTCTAGCTCGTCATAAGTAGTGTCAACTTGATTAGTTGCCAAAATCGCACATACTAATGCATACATTTTACAAAATCCATGTCTCTAAGTAGAAGCAATCTTGTGTAGATACAATTTTTGACTGGTAATTATATAGCTTTCCACTAAAAGAGGAACCCAAACACCCTCACCCTCTTATTCTCCTTTGAATCGTCTCCTTTTTCATCAATCTTATACTGTAACTCCTCTGAATCCTGATGAAATCTGATTATTATTACAATATCAAAGTTCCAGTTTTCTCTTGCCTCTATCATAAGCTCGGGTAGTCCCTGTTTCTGGTCTATTTTCCAAATTATTACAGATGGGGCTACTATTAAATTCTCTTTCTCCTTTGTTTTG